AAGAACAAAGCTGGCATCGCGACGCTTCTTAAGAATGCCAAAAGGGATAATGATGAACAACAGCCCCAAGAGCACTCTAAAGTGTTCTAAAATGGGCATCACGCAGGAAGCCCGGCAAAAACTACACTGCCTGACATGCTATGACAATGGGGACTTATGCAGAGCAACAAGGGCATACCTTTACCATGCCAATAAAGCAGCATTCAGGAATCACATGAATCAGACAATTGGTCTATTAAAATCAGTATTGTCTAGTCAGACTGGCAGTGGATCTCCAAGGTTTCAGGGTGATGTCTTCCACAGCATTTACTACCTGATTGTTTTAATGGGTGATGCCAGGGATTGAGTCAGGGATATTCTGTGTGCCAAGGCTCTACCACTGGGCCATGGCTCCTCCCCAGGACAAGAGACAAGACACATCAACAGACCAGGGACAGAGCCAGGAAAGCACAAGGGGAAGATGAGCAGGGACACCACTTCATACTGCAGTAGGGATATATGCATGCACATACATGGGTAGGAGAGGAAATACACAGCACAAGAGTCAGAGTCTACACTCAGAGATATCTACAATGTAAAGAAAACCATACATTTTAAGAACATTTGTTACAATTTGTACTAGAATGTCAAACTGCAACAAACATTCTTGAAATGTGTGGTTTCCTTTACATTCTTTACATTTCTTTCCTCCAAGGAGCTTAGTGCAATATACATGGTTATCTCCTGTTTCCTATCCTCCTTGGAGGAAAGAAATTTAAAGAATGTAAAGGAAGATGGCAAAGAATGTAAAGAAAACCATACATTTTAAGAACATTTGTTGCAATCTGACATTCTAGCACACAGGCCCATTCACAGTTGCTTATAAAAACGGTCACCTGGTGTGTAAGAAACAGCAAGTCAGCCACAGATAAAAGGTGTTTCCAAAGAAATAACACGTGGTCAGAATTCTAGATCAGCATCCATATACATATGTTCCAAGTAAAAAAAAAACCAAAACCCTAAACAGCCCAAGAAGCCTCTGACATTTCCAGGAGGAAGAGCTCATTTGTCGCCAGAGACACATTGCAATCACTTAAGCAGATATTAATCTGATGTAATGCAATGAGAGCAGCTGGTTCGAGATGACTTAACCTTAAGTTTGACAGTTATCAGCCACAACAGTTAAACTGTAACTCCAAGCAGAGGAACAGTATACCTGTGAGTGCCCAATGCTTAGGATTGTTGAAGAGGCGATCTGTAATCTTCATGCCTTCCTTGTGTACTCTCCCAGAGGCAATGCTGGATTAGGTGGGAGAGTCCATGTGGCATAGCAGTTAAGACTATCAGACTGGACCAGGTTCAAGTATCCACTCAGGCCATGGAAGCTCACAGGGTGACCTCAGGCCAAATGTTCTCGCCACCTGGCTTGCCTTGCAGAGTGATTGGGAGAATAAGATGCAGAAGGAGAACTATACATGCCTCTGTGAGCTATTTAGTGGAACAGCGGGGAGCAAAAAACCACTAAATTGGTAGATATAGCCCTCTGGCCTGTTCCAGGAAGGTGAGTCTGTATACAGTGTCACGATTAAGAGAGCTGAATGAAGACCAGACAGAGCAAATCCTCACTCTGCCATGAAACTTAGTGTAGCCTCAGCCAGCCATTCTTTAACCCACCTCACAGGGCGGTTGGAGGATAAAGAATTGGAGATCGCCATATATATCACACCAAGCTCCTTGGAGAAAAGCCGAGATTTAAGACACACAGTAAAGACTTATCTCCTTTCACACCCGAATTACTGTTGAAAAACAGGATGCGGACCCAGGTGGGCCTGTCTACAGCCCAGCATGGCCATTCCTCGGCTCCCAAGCCTGGGGTGGCGACTGCCCCACCTCCACCTTTTCCAACGGTGCCACTTCAGAGGAGGAGGAGGAGGAAGCCTCCCCATTTCCATTACAGCCTCCGCTTTGGTGCCACACCCATTTGCTTCCCATACCGGCGGCGGCTCACTCTAAGCAGTCCTCCTTCCTTCCTTCCTTCCCTCCCTCCCTTACCCCGCCACCCTGGCCCCAGCCAGCCAGCCTTCCCCCACCGCCCACCTCCCCGCTTACCGTGCTGGGTGAAGATATTGAAGCCGCTCTCGGCGCCCCGGGGGGTTGCCACCTCTCGCCTCCGGCTGGCGGGCCTGGCTGCGCTGCTGCTGCTCCCACGAAGCCCCCTCGGCTGGGAAGAAGAAGGAGGAGGCTGCGGCTGCTGCGGCTGCTGAGGCGGCTGCTGGGGCGCGGCGGCGCCCGGCTCTCCGACACGGCCCACCTGCTGGCCCATCCCCGGTCTCCTCCCGTCCCGGGCCCCCGCCAGCGCCCCCGGCCTCCTGCTTCGCTTCTCGCTCACATGCCGCCGCGTACGCCGCTTGTCGCACCGCGCCCGGCAAAGCCCGGCTCCCCACAGGGCTGCCCTGCCTCCTTTTGCCACCGCCTACTCCGCCGCCGCCGCCGCGCTCCAGCCAGGCCCTCACGGGCTCGCCCCCTCAGTCCCCGCCATTTTAACCACAAAGCTCCGGGCAGGGGACAGAGCGGCTCCTCTCGCCCACCTCCGGTCCTCCCAGGGCGGCCGTTGCTCCTCCGCCCACCCTGGCCCCGCCCCTGTAGCGAGCTGGCTCCCCACCCCCGCTGTGCGGCGTCCCTGAAGAGGGGGGTGGGGGGGACTCGGGTTCGGTGTGTGTGTTTTTTTAATTGCCAAGTAAGTACCGTGTACAGCAGATGAAACAGCCAGTAGATCCCGTTATTATTAATAAGAAGTCTTCAAGCACGCGTAGAATAAAAAACGCAAAAAATGCTGCTGTACTTATATTATTCACTCAGAGGTAGAATAAGAAATATTTAATTGCTGTTACGAACAGTGAATTGCTTACTCAGATGGAAGGTAACCCTCCCCTAGAAACATTGTTAAATATTCACTCAGCCAGAGGTAGGATGAGGGGGGGGAAACCAACCCAATATCTTAGTTATAATGAATATTCACTGAGATGTAGGATAAAATCAAATTAACTGTATTATGAGTAGTAGCAATAGTAAATATTTACTTCGTTGTACGATAAAAAATACCTATTTATTATTAAAAGTATTTCCTTGGAGTTAGAGAGTCTAAGATAGATATATTTAAAATAATGATTTGAAATGGCTTATTATTAATGTATGTTCCTTTAGGTGTAGAGGGTTACGAACCCTTAAAAGGAAACCTTTTTTACGATGCCGTTCTTTGGTTAAAAGGGGATCCTTTTCATGTAGGACTTTAAAAACCTTTAATAATAATAATGCTGACCAAAAACAAAGATGAAGCTACTTCTGTTTGAGTAGGCATGCAGGCTTTTGAAAAATGGAACAGCAGGTAGCTTGCTGCTGCTGTTCAGATTTCCTTTTAAGGTTTACTAGAAGCTTCATTGAAGAAGGTGGGATTTCCTTTGAAATAAACATGCCTCAAGGCCACAATCCTACAGTTTCCTGAGAGCAAGCCTGATTAAACAAAATGGGACTTACTACTGAGTAGATCTTTTACAGGCTTGCCCCTAAATGCATTACACAACAAGGAGATGGACATTTTGGGAGAAATGTGGACTCCCAGGGGACAAATTGTTCTCATATGTCTTAATATTTCTATGTGGCTTCCTAAGTCTGTAATATTGATTAAAGCACACTATTCCTCAGTATTACAGTTAAAATTTCAACAAATATCTACTCACTTCACCATGATTGCGTTACAAACAGTGAGCACTTCTGGGAACCGAACGTTTAGGATATAATCCAGCAAATATTACTCATAAATCCCACTGTATTGAGTTGCCACATGTGCACTTGTCAGAACACTGACAAGTGTGAGCAAGTTACCTCTTAGGTTAATAACTGATGAGAATGTTGTTGCATATTTTTGTTTTCATCTCCATAAATAAAAAGGTTAGAACAGTGGTTCTCAACCTTCTTAATGCCGCGACCCTTTAATACAGTTCCTCATGTTGTGGTGACCCTCAACCATAAAATTATTTTCGTTGCTATCATAAAGACCATCGAAAATTTGTGTTTTCCGATGGTCTTAGGCAACCCCTGTGAAAGGGTCGTTCGACCCCCAAAGGGGTCGCGACCAATGTTCCCTCTAAGCTGTGGAGTCTTGTGAGCAAACTTCTACTCTGTGAGCTACTGGCATTAAACTTGTGAGTGAGCCATTTGGCTGCTGCATAAATGAGTTTGCTCTGGAGCCATGTGAGCTGGAGGCTAAGAAATTGTGAGCTAGCTCACACTAACTCTGCTTAGAGGGAACACTGGTTGCGACCCACAGGTTGAGAACCACTGGGTTAGAGCCATGCTTTCTTAAAAAAACTAAAACTGAAGGAACAGGCCAAGAACGTCTCTGGTAGGAGCAGCTCCTTGAGACTTTCCCACTGTCTTTGGCTGTTACTCTTTGTCCTGACATCTGAATGTTTCAGTTCCACTGAGAAGACCCAAAGAAAACCCTCCTTCCCTTTTCAGTTTTATATATGTGTGACTGTGTTCACAGTGAAGATAGATTCAGGTGAATAACCCTGCTGGTCTGAAGCACCAGACCAAAGTTTGAGTCCAGTGGCACCTTTGAGACCAACAAAGTTTTATTCAAGTTGAATAATGTTCACAGTGTTACAGATGTGATGTTCACAGTGTTTACAGATAATGTAGTGTAGAAACCAAGAGTGGGCAGAGAGGTCCAGAGTTCAAATCTCAGTATAATCCAGCCTTCTTTCTGTATCATGGGGATAACAACATTGGCCAACCTTGTACCATTCTTGTAAAGATTACTGAAATCATGAGAATTTCATAGAGATATCTGTGTTTATTATAGTGCAATAAAACAGAAGTCTAGTGGCACCTTAAAGATTAATAATATTTATTTATGTGAACAAGTATGCATGCCCATGAAAGCTTATACCCAGAATTAAAGTTTGTTGGTCTTAAAGGTGCCACTGGACTCAAACTTTGTTCTGTTGCTTCAGACCAACATGGCTTTCCACCTGAATTTATTCAGCAATTACATTATTAGACCCAAGGTGGTATAGTGGATTGGATGCTGGCCACCCACCCAGCTTCAGTTCCCCATTCTGTCATGAAGTCCATAGGCCAGTCATTCTCAGGGTTCCATAGGCCTCCGTTCTCAAGGTTGTGAAGACAATGTGGAACAGAGGAGAACAATGCACACTACCCATGAAATGTGCTATAAAATGTATTTTATTCTATGGCATTCTGTGGGTTTTACTAGATTACTAGGCTGTGCTTTCAATGCCAATAAAGGTTTTGTGTGTGTGATTACTAGGCTGTTAATTCCACGGGCTTTGTTAAATAGATAGGTTCACGTTCTTTAAAAGACTTCCAATTGAACCAAGAGAAAAGCAAGACAGGTTAAAATATAAAATATGAGTGATACATATGCTAATGGTCTGGGGCAAGTAAAAATTGGGATCTAGGGTGCCTGAAGAGTTCTCAGTCCAACTCTGTTTTATTTTGCTTCAGGATTTTTGAGCTATGCCCATACAATTATATAGGGTTGCCAAACTCCAGGTGGTAGCTGGAGATCGGGGAACTGATCTCCAGGTGATAGAGATCACCCTTGGAGAAAGTGGTTGCTTTGGAAGGTGGACTCTGTGGCATTACACTCCACAGAAATTCCTCCCCTCCCTAAACCCTGCCCTCTCCAGACTCCATTCCCCAAATCTCCAGGAATTTCCCATCCTGGAGCTGGCAACCCTATGTACAACTCAATCTGTAAAGCTGTGGTTTAACTACTATCTTTTTATGAATGCAAGACAGGTTTTTAATATTTGCTTCTTGCTAATTGTTTTCAATATACGTATACAAACTATAGCAGCAACACAAAGAAAATAAATTGGAAGAGTTGCTCCTATCAGAACAGCTGTGTTGGACTATGTCATGGATGCCAAGAAACCATCTGCCAGTATTACCAGGAAAAGAAGTAAAAAAGGTATGCACAATATTAAATGGGCCAATTCATTATAGAGGACACAGTTTGCGTCTGAGTTTCCCAACCTCTGTAAAAAAAGAGAGAGAGAGAGGTGTAGGGTTTCCTCAGTTCCTGCATGTGTGGTGCCTTGTTCTGACTGGAACCACAACACATGTGAAGAGGGGTCTTTAGCCTTTCCTTGTGCTGTTTTCCCAACCTGAAATATTCCAGGGGGTGCTATTTGGCCTGTTGGGGAACCCTGCATGTACCCTGTGGTAATGTGGGTTTTGCCAATTGACCATTTCAGGTCAAGAAAATCATGTGGAACACTTTCTCCACAGAGGTCACATTCCTGATCCAAATTGGGCACTGCACATGCAGGAAATGAGGAGAAATAACAATCCACTGTTAAACACTGTAACCCCAGGCTCAGTCTGCATAATGCATAAGTTGGCGGCCCATAGGTAAAAATCAATCCACACTAATGGATTTATGGGCAATTGGCACTCTGAACTGGACTGCCGGTCACCACACAATCTATGCATTTGCAGTGTGTGGTTGGAAGGGCAGAATACATTTCAAACAGACTTAAGGGATCTGCATAGGAGGTAGTACTCCCATCATGAATTGTAATATCTTGCAAGTGGATGTCCCTCATCTATGAAATATTGCTGAATGTGATCTGTTTGGATGCTGATCAGCGTGATATTTGGAAGCACCCTTTCCCTTATCATAACCAATGTTATTATCATTGTATCTTAGGAAAGTAGTTGGCCCCTGGATAAGTAACAAAAACCGCACAATGGGGCCACCCATGGAGAAAATAGGAATTTTAACTTACTCAGGAATTTCCTCACGTAGACAGAAAAATAGGACTTGGCATATTAACCACAAGAAAAAGGACACCTCCCCCGGAGGTTTGATGAAGATTGAGCATACAACAAGAGGCATGGAATATGAAGAGTAACTGAGAATCGAAGGAGGAAAGGGGGAGATGGGGGGTACTGAGCTGTTCAAGGCCCTGAGAATTTATAGAATCCCAAAATAGGATATTTGGAGAAGGGTTTTAAAAATATTTTATACCCCCCACACAAATTCTTTTTGATATTAGAAAAGTGGGTAGCCTCTGTGCCCCCTGTGAGGGGAAGGGGCACCAATACAGAAAGGCAAGAGTGGTGTAGGAGGTGAGGGATACCAGTTATGCAGAAAAATATGACTTTCCTTCAAATAGCTCTTGTCCAACAGCTGCTCCCAGCTTGTTACCCTTAATAATAATACCCATGGCAGGGAGAGCGGGATAAAAATTTAATAAATAAAATGAAATAAAAAAGAACAAAGGTCCGATGCCTATTAGCTGAGATAATGACTGAGAGAAATTCACCTGAAGAAGCTTTTGACTCCTCAGGACAGCAGTGTTAAGAAATTTTGCTGTGGCCCAAATACTGGAGAACCCTGCATGCCAAAACAGTTGACCTCATTGGACCAGTCACATGCCAGGGTGGGACTCCAAACCACACAAACACTTTTCCACAACTCAGGAGATAAGACTGGGTATGCATTGGAGTCATCCGATGGGAAACATCGCTATAAACTTGGTGGAGAGGACCCTTTCAAGTTCTTCCCAACATGCACACAGCTGTCAAGTTTTCAGGACACCAATCTTGGGCACATCCTTCACATTGTAAAAGAACTTCTGAACCAGAGGGCTAGAGGGCAGGGTTTAAGTGCTAGTAACCTCTCCTGTGTGGTAGAGGAGTCACTGCAGCTGGAGCAGTGATACAGTCTGTGACATGCTAAGACCTGGGCTGGCTTCTAGAAGGATCATTGCACAACTCATTGATATCCACCGAAGAGAAAGGAGAAAGTCCTGTGACATTTGTATATGTATCTATTTGGCATCCTCGAGTCCCCTACAGCACTGCTGATCAGCTGGCAGTGGTGGAAGCTGTCTACCATCAGGCACATGAAATATTTGGTGGGTGGCTGTATGTGCCTCCTAACCCTAGTAGTCCTGGTTTTGTAGCTGTTCTCAAAGGTTAAGTGAAGCAACCTACAATGCAAACTTGAAGAACTGCATGGTGTGCAAGCCAAATAAACCCATTAGAAAAAATGATATCATTTATGTAGTTGCTGTAGTTAGTGTTATGGATTCATTTTGCAACACCTGGGTGGGATAAGTATTTTTTCATCTAGCTAATGCAAAAAAATAGTGTCACAAGGAAACTAAAGTGATGCAGCCACATGCCCACCCACTCAGAACAGGGAGTTCTTTTCCCATTTGCTACATGGGTAAACTCATCATATGAAGGTTCATTGATAACCAGAAGTAAAACAGAAATTGTCTCCAACCTTAACATCCCTTGACGTAGCCTTTCATCCTACTACACGGCAAAATTGTGTTATAAAATAACTAGCAGTACAGCTCGTGCAAGCAATATAACGAGCTCTAGAAAGATGTGATGTGTAACAAATGCATAGGCTGGAAGGTGGTAAAGTAAATATTAGCAGTCTGTAAGTGAAATATACAAATGTGGAAGTAAAGTCTGACATACCTTATGTTACACAACAGCCGGTGTCCAAGGTCACACAATGTGGCCCAGAAAATGTTGCACACAGGGGTCTGTGGAGTAGTGTCAACAACTGGGCAGTCTGTGAAGTCAATTTATGTTGGATGTCCGTGTCATTCAATGTGGTTGTGGTCGCACTGTCCACTCTGTTAGAGCAGAGGTCTCAAGGGAAGGTGGGTTGAAAGTGAGTGGTCATGATGAAAGTCTCAGTAGGTTACGTGAGAATGAGAAGAAGGAGTCTTCGGAAATGAGTGTTGTGAAATGTCTATAGTTTTGAAAGTTGTCATTTATGGTAGAGAAGTGTGGCTTAGGAATGTTTTCCAGCAAGATAGTTTAGGGCTGGATGGTTTCAGGGAAACAGGTAGGCCGGCTGCTCCCCCCCCAGCAGGCCCTGCCGGCTCGCCAGAATCCAGCTGGGTGGGGAGATGGGCCCTACCTGCTGCAAGACTCTCCCGAGGGCTGAAGAATGGTCGGCAGGCAAACAGCCACGGCTGCTCCTCCACTGATCTTCTCCTGACGGCTAAAGAAGGCTGGTCAGGCAAATGGCTGCTCAGCTGCTGTGGTAAACTGTTCAGATTGGAATTTTGGCAGGAGCTGGCTCTGTTGGCGGGACTCAGGCACACCTTCTGATGGGCAGTTCAGGCCGCCAACTGATTTTGGCAAGCATAGAATGTCGCCATGCAAAAACACGTTTATATATAAGGACAGGATTGCCCCTTATGGTTCGGGACTTGACATGGGAGACTACCCTTTGTGTTGGTATGTTTTTACTTACAGGTCTGAAACCAATTCTGTAAATGTATTTCTTAATGGTCAAGCTCTGAAGCAGTCCCAAGACATAACAACACCTAATTTTGGCGTCAGATTAGCAGTGCAGCCAGAGTGTCCTGGGGAGGGTAGGCCTAATAATCGGCTTAGTTTGGTGCAAGACAGCTGGCATTACCACAGAAAAGTGGTTGCTTGCCTACTGTGAACGCCTAAGCCTCCTGCAGGACAAGGAAGTTCTCTTGTCAACCCCGTTAGGAAATCTGTGGCCTATGAGCTCACTTTCAATCTTTAGCCAGGCCAGGGTCTCACACAGCGTGTGTCAGCCTACCTAATATTGAAGTTATCTTGTGAGATCAACTCTTTGTATGCCTCTTCTCTGCAGGTTTCACAATTTGATGGGGCCTTTTGTGTGGCAGCACCACAACTATGTCTTCCATTATACAGCATGGCTGGCACCTTCACTTATGGCTTTTTAGGAGGGCAATGAAAATGTATTGCTTCTGTCAAGCTTTTAGGTTGGTTCTTGTAGAGATTTGGAATTTTTTAATGGAGGTTGGGTTTTTTTAAATTAAATAACTGCTCTTCCAGAGTTCCAAAATACTGACAAAAATGTGGATCTTTAATTCAGAATAGCCTAACGCAACAACTTGCACTAATTGTCATACTTATTTTTATGAATTTTATTTAAAACAAATGTAACAAATTTTATTTAGAAAACAGTCTTCTAATTGCTTATTCCTGAAAGCTTGAGGCTGCTTCCAAATATGGTGAGTAATGATTTATTTACTGTGCTTAAGTGCTAATAGAATCCCAAGAGCATTGTGGATACCTAGATTCTTCTTGTGCTGGTCACAAACCATAATAATAAATTTGATTTACCTAGATTCTTGGTTTTTTGCTTCAGCCTGCAGGTCTTCCAGCCAAAAGATGGAGCGGTCCCCTCACTGCCCTGTTCCTGCTACGGCTTTGGATAACAGCATGAAAAAGAAAAGTAATTTTGAATGTAGTGAGGCCTCTGCTTCTTTTAGGTCTGTATGGTAAACATTTGAAAAGTCGAATTATGATATCAAAATAGAAGTATAATGTCTATCTGGCTTGTTATGGAAGCTTCTGAATGGTTGCACAGGTCCAGGTTTTGACCAGCTTTGGCTTGACTGCATTCAACTGTTAAGAGTAGTTTACTTTTGTAATATATTACTGTATTTAATGGTAAATACGAATTTGAAACAGGGAAACAAACATACAGCAAATTTAGAGGATTTCCAGGTATGCAGAACATATGAGGTTATACATTTACCAAAAAAAACCCTAACCCTACCCCTCTGAAAAAACTTGGCTTGATGAGGACTGAGCATATTCTGGGAGGCACAGAAGTTTGGAAGTCAATTAAAGAAAAAAATAGAGGGAGATGGGGAAATTGCCCAGCTTATAGAATCCTTGTCAAGGGAGATTTATGTGTGTGAGAAGCTGGAATTTTCAAACAGAGTATTTCCCCTTCTCAATGATTTGCTGGTAGTTTGGAGAATGTGTCCTGTCCCTTTAACAGAGGCTTAATGGGGTGTTATTTTACCAGGTGATGTTCTTTTATCTCCATGTCATAATAAGCTTCAGCTGTCTATTTCTGCCCAACAATCCTCTGTTAAAGGGACAGGATATTTTTTCTCTCTAGAAGATTGTTGGCAACCTTAGCTATGATTTGTTGACTTACCCTTGGACTCATCCCATCCATACTCAGCCTCACTTCCCTGCACCCATTTACCTTAATTAAGTGACACTTAATTCTGTTCACCTAACCCATTAGCCTTTCCTGCCAGATACTTGTAGGCACATCAGACCTCACACACACCATTGTCCACCTCAGTAAAACTCACTAAGTCATTGTTTTTCTGGCAAATATGTCATATGCACCTGAGGGTACCTTTTGCCCTATATCAGAAGCACCCTGCTTCCCAGCAGTTGTCTGTGTATGCCTTGGGTCCTTCACCTACACCCCCACTTTGTTGGGTTCTCTTCTCTCTTGAAACGCTGGTTGTTTTACTGCTTCCATGGACCTCTACAAAAATAGTAATTATCATGCTTCCCCAAATCACTTTCCCCCTCTCCTCCCTGTGTTTCTCTTAGCTAGCTTTTGTATGTGCGCTTATTGTGTGTATTTTGTTTTATTCTATCTCTTGTTCTTAATAAAAACCTTTCCAGTTGAACATCTGCCTGGTTCACTTTGAGAGTTCTCATAAGGCAAAAATCCCAATATACACAGATGGAGAATCCCAGTTGCCCCCTCTCACTCTATCTTTTTAAAGCTAATGCCCCCAACTAATTACGAGACTGCCTATTTGGGTAACACTAATACAGTTTGATCAGAGTTACATACAACTTCCTGCATTTGTTTTATAGTGCAATATGCCTCTCTTGCTAGGGATACAAAGGGGTCCCCATCTTATAAAAGCTCTTGCCAGTCAGAGGCAAATTGTTTGAAGCACAAAGCCAGGAATAAGGCAGAAGGAGCGAGCCATATGGCATATGAAAAAGATGAACCAGATTTGCAGAACAGAGATTTCAAAAGCCCGTCTTCTGTGGATGAAACCGTTGTTCGATATTTGAATGACCGACCAGCAATTGATGCCTTGCAGAACTCAGATCCTTTCTTGAAAGGTGTAAAACCTACAAGATCAAAGGAGGAAAGGACTGTGGGACCCAGATATGAGTATGCTAAAATGTCTCACAATCCCACAATCACAATCTCAGATGCTGAACTGAAAGACCCGCAGTTGGCCAAATCTTCGGCTTCCTCTGCCAGTACCTCCAGTATCCACAGGCTAGCTATCTTAAAGCATCACCAGCATGATGCAAAGCTGAAAAAACTGAAGGGACGGATTAGAAACTCAGATCCTTCCTTGGAAGGTGTAACACCTACAAGCTCAAAGGAGGAAAAGACTGAGGGATCCAGAGATGAGTATGCTAAAATGTCTCTAAGTATCACAATCCCAGATGCTGAACTGAAAGACCCACAGTTGGCCGAATCTTCAGCTTCCTCTTCCAGTACCTCCAGTACCCACAGGCTAGCTATCTTAAAGCATCGACAGCATGATGCTAAAATGGAAAAACTGAAGGGACGGATTAGGAAACAGTGGCGGTTTCAGGAAGACCTGAATAGCAGAGAACAGTTTCAGGACTATGTTGATCATCCCGTGATCGTCGCAGCTACAGAGAATACAGTAACACCTAAACTCAGAAAAGTGACAGCTACATCTCCTTCTCCTGCATATAAAGGTATGTAATCTCTGTCTCTAGTCTTTGTGCAGACGATAAATCTGTATTGGTATGCAGTGGCCTTTATTTATTGCTTTCAGTGGTGGTGGTTAGAATTCTAACCAATGGAAATATTTTAACATTTAAAATGCTTTCTGGTTCCCTGGGCTCTAGTTGCATTTTCTTCCCTTCCATAGACGTGTTTTGTATTCAACTGTACAAGCAGGGAATCTGTGAGATTCTGTGTGGGAGGGAAAATGATATTCTGTGCTGACCTCCACTTCCTGCCGTCTTGCTCTGCTCCCCCTAAAGCTCATGTTAAGTGCTTTTCTCCAGCCTTCTAGCAGCCCCAAACGACTCCCGAAGATCCTGCAGAATGTCAGGGGGCCACACAATCCCAGGTGCCATTTTGGGTTGCTACAGATTGTGTCACAATCTCTGTTAGATTTATTTGCTTGTAGTTGTTAAGCTGCCAGTGATTGTCATAGCAATATAATGTTTTACCTGAAATTTTCTTTTTTCTTATATTAACTTATTTGAAATTACTTGCTCTCTGCATGTGCACAACAGACATAAAATACAATGTTGGCATTCAGGAATCTTTGGGAATCAGTAAAATCTATTAAAGCTTCATTGGACCCTTTGGGGGGTTAGTTTTTCCTGTAATGTCTCGTGTACCTTATTTTTTGAATACCCTATAATGAATGCTGCTTTTGTATAGAAAAGCTTCTTAATTTATATAGTACAGGCTAGGATCTCTGTGTATCTTTATCATTGTGGTAATGAACTAGCTAATATGTGTGAGGTGCTTAAAATAGTACTTTCTCCTGATATAATTAATTTCAGCCAGCATAACATGATGATTTCTTTTTAAAATGGTTTGCTCGGTATAGCTATGCTATTCTATTAGATTTCAGTCCATCAGAAGCCAAGATTTATACTCCTGATGAAAAGGTACGGCATGAAGAAGAATTCCTCAGTCTCAGTAGAGAGCTCTGCAGAGACTTGGAACGCCAGTTAGAAGGTAAGCAGGCCGCTTTCAAATACTGATTTGTTTGTAACAACAATGAATTAAAGACCACACGTACTCTCTCTTCTTTCATACTTGCCAATTCCTCTCATGCACAGCACCAGAACTGCAAACTAGGAAATCTTCAGTGAATGAAGGTCGATTATCCCACTTCTCCACTTTAGGTTGATTATCTTGCCGCTCTAGTTTAGGTGCTGGCTCCAGTATCTTCTTTTAACAATCTGTTTTTATTAATATTTCACACACACACAATCTTTTTTGTAAATCTTTGTCCATCCTGCAAGGGTGTCATACTTTCCATATTGATATTACCTAATCCTCCATTTTCTCTTAGTTTATCAAGTATTAGTGAAGTATGCAAGAAGCTGAAAAATACCTCCAGTGCAATCCAAAGGAGAGTCTCATGCTTCTAAGTCCATTGAAATTAATGGGCTTGGAAGGCTCTAACTGTACAGTGGCAGGGCTCTTTTTGTAGAAAAAGCCCAGCAGGAACTCATTAGCATAATAGGCCACACCCAACACCAGAAATTCATTAGCATATTAGGCCACACTCCTGCCAGCACAGCTCATTAGCACATTAGGACGCAGCCCCATGTTACCAGAAGTGTGGTTATCCAGCCACACCCACCTTTTGCTTGTTATTCTGTTTACCATGTTTGTTGTCAAAACCCAGGGCTTTTTTTGTAGCGGGAACTCTTTTGCATGTTAGGCCGCACACCCCTAATGAAGCCAATCCTAATGGATTTCTGCTGTTGGGTGTGGCCTATTATGCTAATGAGTTCCTGCTGGGCGTGGCCAACTTGGGAGCCAGCCAGAACTCCGTTCCTGTGCGTTCCTGCCCAAAAATAGCCCTGTACAGTGGTATACCTAACCTATTTGGCACCCAAGGCGGGTGAAAAACACCTTTCCTCTATTTTTATTTTTATATTTTTGCTGTTATGTCACAGGTGATTTGTGGTGAACCCGTAGGTTTTTGGAATCAAGTAATGTTTGGAGATGGCAAAGGATGAGATGGTTAGACAGTGTCACAGATGCAACGGACATGAAAATGAGGAAGCTTCAGAGGACAGCGGAAGACAGGAGGGCCTGGCGTGATCTGGTCCATGGGGTTGCGAAGAGTCGGACTCGACTGTGCGACTGAACAACGAAATGTTTGGAGATGGTTCGCCATTGCCTGCCTCTGCATTGGCCCTGCTTAGCTTCTGAGATCTGACAAAATCAGGCTAGGCTGGGGCTGTCCAGGTCCGGGCCCCTTTCCTATATGAAAAAAGGTGGGTAGCTATGTTGGTCTGAAGCAGCAGAACAAAGTTTGGTCTTAAATGTGCCACTGAACCCAAAGTTTGTTTCAATGGCCAGAAAAGAAATGCAGACAGTGAAAAATTTATTTAACTTCATATATATAATTATTCCAGGAAAAACAAATCAAATTCCAACACGCTATTCCATCACAAGAGCCAGCATTGTGTAGTGCTTAAAGTGTTGGACTAGGATCTGAGAAATCCAGGTTCGAATCCCCACTTGTGCCATGGAAGCTTGCTGGGTGACGCTGGGCCAGTCACATTACTCTCAGCCTAGCCCTGACCAGGATAGCCTGATCTCGTCAGATCTCAGAAGCTAAGCAGGGCTGACGTGGAGGCAGGCAATGGCAAACCACTGCCAAATGTTTCTTGCCTTGAAAACCCCACAGGGTTGCCATAAGTCAGTTGTGAATTGATGGCAAATAGTAATAATAATTCCATCACACCACTCATGTTCTGAGCAGGGACTTGGATGGGCTTCTGTTCTTCATTTTGAAGCCTAAGAGCTGACCATCCCATATATCTACAAGGCATTTTTGAGAACCAGGAGTCTACCCTTGGACTAACTTCTACTAACACTAGCCAAAGCATCACAAAAGTGTCAAAACAGTGATCACAAGCTTCACCAGACCCAAAGAAGGTGCTCCCATCCTCCATTGTTTCCAAAAGACTAAAGTCAAACTAGAGAATCTGTGCAGTAGAAAGGGGGGGGGGCATTTTTGCAAGCCCAGCAGAATCAGTGCACTGTACAGGGTACCCAGCAGTATCAGTGCAATCATAAGAGTGCCCAGCAAACCCAGTGCCACTGTGACAATGCCAGCTGATGCCAAACACAGTCTGGGGGTGTGTGTTGGAAGCCCATCAGAACCAGTGCAATGTACAGTGCCCAGCAAATGCAGTGCCATTATGCGGTGCTCAGAATGTCAATCCAAGCAGGGGGGGGTGGAAGCCCGCTTCCACACACACACACATCCCGATCAGTTTCTGAAAACGCTGATGCGAACTTCATTTCCCATTTTTCCATGGGTTCCTCCTTTGGGGCGGATGCCTGGCTGCGCATTGTAACCGCCCCTCCCAACTGGGCAGGAGTGAACACAGAGTCAATGACGCCCTCCCTCTGGCTATTGTGTTGAGGGAGGCACAATAAAGCGTCAGCTAGTGAGTTCGATTTACCCGGGAAGTGGTGTAGAGTGAACCTGAACTTACAAAAGAAGTCGGCCCAACGTAGTTGCTTGGCGTTCAGGTTTCATGTAGTGCGTAGCACCTCTTAAGTTCTTACGAGCTTTCCATACCTCAAAAGGCACCTTTGTCAGGCCTCCCAGTCAAAACACTCAACAACATTCCTTCAGAAGTTTCAGTTTATTGAGGGTTAGTACTTGTGACACCATGAACTCTTGTGTCAGGAATGGCGGGAGGATGGGTAGCCTGTACAGTTATACCCTTTCAAACCAGCCCCCCTGATGCAGTGAACCCAATAGGCAAGCACCTGTAAACGCAGGCAAAATACAGCAGTTACATTCCCAGAGGGAAAAGCGGACCCGGCAGAGCCGAGCCTTCAAGGACACCAAACAGATAACAGAGCACAGCAAATGAGACGCGGGGGAAGGGAGGGTGAAGAGGAGGAGAGGGAGCTGGGCACCCCCCACATTCCAGACCATGGCAGCATTAGCTGACACCCAGCAGAACCAGTGCAATATACAGTGCCCAGCAAACCCAGTGCCTTCTGTTCATAATATTAACAAAGATTTGCTACTATACTACTCTTAAATATATTCTTTCACCAGGCATGATAGGGATGAGAAGGTCTTGAGACCAAGAAGTGAAAATAAAGGGTGGGGGGGAGACACAGAAAAATTAGTTGAGGGGAGACAGAAATGAATGAGAAACATACGGAAAAGAGGGAGAGAAATTAAAAAGAGGGAAAGGTTTTATTTTGCTGCAACAGTAGGGTCACTATATTTTGAAAAGCAAAAAAGATAACGTTTCCGACTCACTACTTCAAACAACTGATCTCTATGAGAAATCTCATTTTAAATACCACTACTATTTAAACTGAGACTTGCCTCCACTGGGGGCTGTAGGGCAAAACAGCCTCCCAACCCAAAAAGGGGAAATTTAATCTGTTTTTTTTTAAGTGCCCAAAAGAGGATGGACACCAAACATATCTGGTAACCCTATGTAACACCCTAACTTCTGCTTCGCATGAGCTGGGTGCAAGGAAAGGAAAAGAGAAAGGTTCGTAGATTGTTAAAGAAAATAACCTGCAGGCTGGCAATTTCTGTAGCAGCTTTCAGTGTACTGGCTCGGTTGTTGATAAGGAAGTTTGCTTCTGTCTGGGAGAAAAGGAAGTCTAACTGATCAATCCTAGTATGCTTTTTTGCTATACTCAGACTTCCATGCGCCCCTAGTGGCTGCAGCCAGAACCGCACTTTAAAATAAAGGAAAAAACTTTCAGCTCGAGGCAGTATGAGGCTGGCTTTGAGGGCCCCCTTCAAAAGTCTTCCACAAGCTGTGCCCGGGGTGGACCACCACCCCCGCCCCCTTGGTACGCCACTGGCTCTGCTTGGGATTGCACTGCTAGTCTTCCAGAATAGAGCAGAGATTGTTTAAGCGAATGGGTAATATCTAGCATGGAGTGGTTGCTGATACAAGGAAGAGAACATTGAAACAGAACTGTTGTTTGCAAAGAAAGTACAGACCAAAGTTTGATGTTTAAAAGGAAGACTTAAATCCACCTGATTTCGAATCAGGACTCGGTAATTTTGTCAAGCAAGAAATGCTCTGTGGTTTGCCCAATTTGGATGTGTCACAACAAATCAATGTCTATTGGAAGCTTCCCAGTTTGCAATTTTAGTGCTGTGCCATGTTGCCTGCAGGAGAGGATTCGGGCCAACGGAAAAAAGAAAGGAGCATGTGAGCCTGAGGACTGGCCTGTTCTTGTCACAAACAACTTCTGGTTGGTTTATTTGGCATACTAATGCAACCACAACCATATTTACTTGGCCTAGTTTCATTACTGTCCACCCACCAAGTATCTTCATAATCCCGAGTGTTGGGATTAAACATCTGATAGCACCATTTTCAAGATTTCTGACAGATGTGGAACATGAGTTTTATTTTGTGTTTAATTAAAGCTAGCAGCATATCTACATTAATAAATTCTAATAAATGTTAAAATGCTGGTAGACGAGGCATTTATTTAGTAGTATATAGGAAAGGGAAGAGTAGATATTTTTTTCTGGGAGCTGTTTAATTTTTATTCATTCTAATAAATGTTAAAATGCTGGTAGACTGGAGGCATTTATTTAGCATTATGTAGGGAAGGGAAGAGTAGATTTTATTTTTCTGGGAGCTGCTTAATTTTTATTTGAACATCTTGGGAGCTAACAGTCACAAAATGGTAGCTCACTGACTGTGGTCTGTCACAAAGTGGTGGTTTGTATGAAAGTTATAGCATTTCAGAGCAGGTATGCAGCGCTCAGATGGGGATAGGGTTGCCAGACCCCCCAGTGAAGGCACTAGGCCCTGCCCCCTAGCAGCTGATCAGCTGGCTGATGGGAGGACTTACCAGTAGAAAGAGAAAGGAAGCCCTAACCTGGATAGCCCTGGCAAGTATTTGGATGGGAGACCTCCAAAGAATATCAGGGCTGGAAGGAAGAGGCAGGTTTCAGGCCACTTCTCTAAACATCCTCCATGCCCCAATAGGAGTTGCCAAAGGTATCTGTGACTTCCAGGCAGGAACACACAGAAAGAGGAAGGCCCAGATCACATTGCCAGCACCACACCAGAAAAGATGTCATCACACCAGCAACTTTTAGGTGACGCTCTAGTATTTGGGCAAAAACTCTATGGTAGAAGTAGGTTTTACCACAGTTTTTGGCCAGATACCAGAGTGTCATCTGGAAGTTGCTGGCATGATGATGCCACTTCCTGTGGGACACTGGCAACATGGCCTGGGCCTTTCTCTTTCTCCTGTAAGTTCCCCCTGGCAACCCTAAATGAGGAAACCTTTCCTTTGTTGTTCTTTCTTTGTTTGCCCTGCAGGGGGATAATGTACAGTTATCTCTGTGTTTACTCTAAAAAAGGCAAATAGCAGCTTTGACGGGGGGGGGGGTAGATAATAGCATGCTCCTTTCCTACCCACAACAAAGGTGTGTCTGAGCATGCATGAAAGAGGAAGAGAATGGAAAAGGGTGCTGGTGCTGTCATTTTCCAGTCCAGAGCGAAAGTGCAAGCATGTGCTGCCTCCTTTGCAAAAAAAGAGAAGATGCTGCGGTAGCTTTAGAGGGAGCGATAAGAAAGTGATTTCAGTAGTGCTGTAGGAGCTCCTTTTAATTGCTTGAAGAGTTTCCAGTCACTTCCAAGTGACCTTCTGCCTATCGGGTTGCCAGGTGCCTTCCTTCTGCCAGCGGGGGATTTGGGGGGTGGACGGGGATGGTGGCAATGCTCTGATGTCACTTCCAGAAGTGATGTCATTGTGGTGGCAACGTTGGGGCAGCACTCTACTTTTTGGGCAAAACTCTATGGTTAAAAACAGCTACAAACCATAGAGTTTTGCCAAAAAAGTAGAGCATTGCCCCCAGCATTGCTGATGCAATGACAGCACTTCCGAAAGTGATGTCAGCGCATTGCTGACATTGTGTGGGGACCAGTGTTCCTTCTAAGTTAGTGTGAGCTAGCTCACAGTTTTTTAGCCTCCAGCTCACAGATTTTTGTTTTAGCTCAGGAAGGATGGCTCCAGAGCAAACTAACTTATGCAGTAGCCAAATCGCTCACTCACAACTTTAATGCCAGTAGCTCACAAAGTAGAATTTTTGCTCAGATGACTCCACAGCTTAGAGGGAGCATTGATGGGGACCTCTGTTTGGGGGTGGGGTTTCCCCCACTGGTCAGCTGGCTGGTGGCAGGCCAGAACCTGCAAAATTGGGGGATCCCCCACCCCTACCTGGAGACTGACAAGCCTATCTGCCTACCCCAAATCTAGAAAGGTATGTTATCCCAGTTTTAACAATGTAGGTGGTAAACAATATTTGTGAGTATGTATTCTTCTGATTTTCAGAAGAGGATTCTGTTTTCAAAGACAAGCCTGCTGAAAGAAGAAAGAAGAAAAAGTCAACAGGAAGAGTGCGCAAAGTCCAGAAAGTAACAGAGCTGCCAGGCCATTATTCCAAGCCAGGTGAATTTTAAGTCTTGCTTTTAAGCATACACTCTGCCTGTAGTTTCTTTTTAAACAGGGTTCGATTTAAATCTTCTTTTTTTGTACCAGCACCCACTCCATATAAGAAGTTGTCCCTTCTCTTAAACAATCTCGGCATTATTGTATTCGGGAAAACCAACATGTTCCCTGGGATCCATGGGTTTTCCCAAGAGACCCCCTTGCTTGTTTCAGGTTGGGAAAATGGCAGGGGGGAAGCTGAAGCCCCTTCTCTGCATTCACCATGGTTGTTCTCCTCATTGGGTACCACGAGCTCAGGAATTGAGGAGAACCTACAACTTACATGTGATTGTGTTACAGTTGACACAGAATGGGGACTCAGTCTGTATGCTCTGTAGTGTGTGAAAATATTTTTTCCAGCTCTAGCATACCTGATAGCTTATAACCCAAGGAACACTGCAATCTATATATCATTGCTGGTTCTTTATTTAGGAAGGTTCAGTATAATAAGTACATCATCCTGGCGTGATGGAAAAAGATTGGCAATGAAGATACTTGGTCCAGCACCTAAAGTAAAGAAGCAGACATCACCTTCCATTGATGGAAGTTGTAGTGATAGGTCTATTAAATCTGGTAAGATGAGCTATTTGTGCTTTTCCTTTTTCTACTTTTACATTGTATCATATGTCCCTTGGGTAACTGCAGAAAGTCTCCTTTGTGCCGCAAAAAGTATTTAATGAACTCGCTCGTTTTTTGTGTACTGGAGGGATTGTTGATCTTAAAAGATGTTGTCAGATGCTCCATCTGCATCTTTGTTGAGGAAACTTAATAAATATAAACTCTAGTTGGGTTTCGTTCTTTTTCTGGCTATAGTTTTATTTCTGTGTAAACTGAAATCTTTCAAAGGGTTTTGTCTTTAGCTTGAGGATATGCAGGGTATGTATTTTTACAGAGACTGCTGCCTGCCTGACTTGTTTTTTCATGATCTAAGAAGATATTCTGCACCTGAGTAACTAAAGGGATCTCAGCTAAAAATATACCCCTAAAGGACTCTTGCACTGGTACCTGTGCTGATTTGGGTTATTTTCTGTAACCGGTAAGATCAGTCTTATAACAAGCACTATCTGGCTTTCCAAGCTGGCAGGCACATCTCTGTTATCAATGCTTCTGTTTTCTTCTCTCCTGCCTTCTACTGGAACTCCAGGATAGGTTAACCCTGTGTAGAGGTATCCTGAAATACTAGGGTATAAATAGGTTCTAAGCAAATAACTCCACGTGGGCTTCGATCAGGTAGTTGGCTTCTGAAACACTCTAATAGTGAAAGTTTGACAGTTCGGGTGGTTTCTCATCCGTATGCCGAACAAGCTGTTTACGCGACTGCAACACGTAATGGAGCTTGGACTCAGCTGGCATCAGGTTGTTTAGTTTATTTTTAATAAGTGAAAAGGGCCTATAGCCATGAGGCACTGGAACTAAACAACCTTACTTCCCCTCAAGGGATTAACGAAGAGATGTGAAAAGTTAACTAGTTTTTATCCTTCATGGTCTCTGTGCATCTCACTAGTAGGCTTTGAGCCTGTGCAGAGAATGCTTCTAAAACTTCTAGAGCTAACTTTTTGGTGTGAAATCCTCCCACTTAGGGACACAGCCTTGAAATGTGCATATTTTGAGGGAGAGGAGTTGTGCTTTCTCACTCAGTTTCCTTTTGTCTGCCTCATAGGCAGCCTCTTCTGGGGACTTTTCCTGGATCTGACCAACTTCAAGAAGTGTAGATCATTTGGGAGTAATGTCCTGTCAACTAGGGTTGCCAAGTCCTATTTTACCTGGAGCGGAGGGAGTCCTGGCCCTCCCCAGGAGTTCTTCGGCGCGCATGTGATGACGCTACCTGGAAGTGACGTCATTGCATCGGGCACGTTGGGAGCGGGGCCACTATCATTCAAGGGGAAATCATAAAACGTCCCCCCCGCAATGTGCCTGACGTGATGACATCATATCTGAGTGGTGTCATCACTCCGGGCACATCTCTGTGCTCCCGGCACTTTGTGGGTTGGGTTCCCCCTGGCGGGCCGATCTAGGCCGGCGGGGAACGGACCCATCAAGCAGGGGTTTCCCCACCCCCCGGGGGACCTGGCAACCCTACTGTCAACAGATGATTATGACCACTGCCTTCTCTGATTAAGCAAATTTCATGGGGTAGTTTCTTGCCCTTACTGCCTAATGGTCACAAAACAGGAAAGAAAAAATCTTGTCTTACTATTCTGAGGGAGAAGGCCCTTCCAGCTTGGATCACTGTGTCTCAGCTTCAGAGAAGGAAGAAGGAAAATCCCTCTTTGTCCCATCTTTTGGGCTTGATGACCCAACAAACCATCATCCCACTTGAGACGAGGGTCCACCATCTCTTCAGAATAAGAAAAAGAGACTGAAGCTGGGAGGGGGGAAGCAGCAACCAATTAAAAGTGCCCCTCCAGCTTCTCTAATACCAACCAAAGTTTGGGTAGTGACTCTGCCTCAGCTGAGATACCGTGACAGACAGAAGGCTGTCCCACCCCTGAAAGGAAAAATGGCCATTCATTTAATCCTATGGGAGTGCTATTCCAGCATCCAGTCACCTTTGAGAAGGGGAATGCAATGTTGGAGGGAAACACAGCAGGAGATGTTGAGTTCTGCGTCAAGGAGAGAGCTATGAGAGTTCAGGTCTGGCTCAGGAAAAGAGCAGACAGAATGAAGGGTAGCTCTGCTTGGTAGTGGCAGAGTGGTCTGGCTCCTGACAGAGAATAGAGTACCCTATTGTTAGGCTTGTCTCTGGCAATGAACAGACCTTGTGCCATTTAGTCTGACTGTGTGGGTGGAATTCTGTGTGTGTGTTAGAATCCAACCAATGGTTAATCGGTAAAAACCTGTTTATGTTTGAACTATTAAAGAAAATTGAAACTACTCTCTAAATTTATGTGCCTCAGCCAGGTTTCTCTTTTGTCTACCTGGAGACCCATGCTGCTGATCTAGAAAATTGAAACTACTCTCTAAATTAATGTGCCTCAGCCAGGTTTCTGTTTTGTCTACCTGGAGACCCGTGCTGCTGATCCATTCCTTAAAATCTACTTGTAAATAAATAAACCTTCTTTGTTGTTAATATATAATTCCTGCCTCAGTGACCTCCATATTCTACTTGTGCACCACAAAACGTACCTCTCAGCAGTGAACCCAAAGCTATATACTTGCTACCTTTAGAACACCTGGTAACTGAGGGAAAGGTTTATGGTTTAAAATAAACCTGGGTCCCCCCAAATCATTAGGAGGCTGTGTGGGTCCCCTCAGTTATAGAAACACCCTGTCACAATTTGGTGCCATAGCGGTGGGTACAGGCAAAAAGTTTCACAAAGGTTACCCAAGGTAGTAAAATATAAAGATATAAATATTTAAGAAATTTTGTGAGGTAAAATTTATCAAAATGCCTCCTAAGTGAGTAAAAGCACTTGAGAGGACTGAAGCTGAGTCAGTGGCTGCAGGGGACAGCATAGAAGCAGAGGAATTTGTGAATACTGACCAAGTAGAGTTCTGGAAAATAAGGCAGGAAATTGAAATGGGTAAATTAGAAAAAGAGAAAGAACTAGAGACTTTTAATTTCAAGAGAGTGAAGCCCAAAGGGAAATGGAATTAAAAGGGGTGGGGAAGCCCATAGGCGCATGAGATTGAATTAAATTGATCTCACACTGTCCTCAGATACAGACAGTATCGTCAGCTTAATCCTATACCTCTGTAACTCCTCTTGCAAACTGAGCCTGTTCTGGAGTTATCAGTACTGAAGAACATGAAAGACACTGCAGACTGGGCCAACCTGAAAAATCAGCAGTGGCTGAACATAGCCTAACTCACAGGACACAGTATCTTATTCCGAGAGACTGAAATGCTGGACAACACATCCAATTACCATGTCAGATTACACAGGGAAGCCATTGAAATTCATAAACACAATTTCAACAGGAAAGAAGAGAGTTTAAAAATAAATAGGGCATGGTTTCCAGTCTTGAAAAACACAAACCGCTCTACGTTTTACAACAGCACTACAGATAAGATTAGAATTTCAACAGCCAATCCATATGCAAAAGAACCTCCTCAGGAAAGCTCCTCCATCAGCATGTCACTGCCTGGGAAACTCCTACAAGATAATGACTCAGCCCTACTCCATCTTCCTGAGTAGATATAAATTACCTGCCTACAATTTTTCTTCTCATATTGACACAGAGTACTCCATCTTTCTATGTTATACCTCTGAGGATGCCAGTCACAACTGCTGGTGAAATGTCAGGTACTACAATGCCAAGACCACGGCCATACAGCCCAGAAAATCTACAATAACTAATACTGAAGAAGACTCCTTACCTTCACTTGGGAGAGGTTCAGCTAGAGGATTCACCATACTCACCATGCCACACCCAGCTGCAAGCTCCCCTACAAGCAGTTTGTCTTCAGCTGCCTCAGAGAGAACATCGGTCTTCACATGATAGTCAAGACTATCATCATTTCTACCCCATATTGCAGGCCAGATCTCAGGTTCAAGAGTCACCTTAACATCCCCCTCAGTACTAAGCATTCCTTTGTGTTTGGTCTTCATATCGGCATGGCAAATCTTTGCAGTATATCAACTCTCTTTAATACCAAGATCCTTCTCTACATCACAGTACTCCTCGATACTGAATGTTCTGTCAGTACACAGAGTCTTTTTTATATCGAGGCTCTTCAAGAAATAAATCCGCTTGAGGCTATACAGAGAAGCAGCGCTGTTGCCCCCTTCCTGCATGTCCGTCCCCAGAGGAACATCACCACAAACACGCCAGACACACTGCTATTCTCACTGACGCATCTTATAATTCAAGCAAAGACATCACCCTGCCAACAAAAGTCCGCATGGTCAAAGCAATGGTATTCCCAGTAGTCATGTATGGCTGTGAGAGTTGGACTATAAGGAAGGCCGAGCGCCGAAGAATAGATTCTTTTGAACTATGGTGCTGGAGGAGACTCTTGAGAGTCCCTTGGACTGCAAGAAGAACAAATCAGTCAATCCTCAAAGAAATCAACCCTGACTGTTCCCTGGAAGGCCAGATAATGAAACTGAAGCTCAAATACTTTGGCCACCAAATGAGAAGGGAGCACTCACTGGAGAAGACCCTGATGCTGGGAAAGATTGAAGGTCAAAGAAGACGGGGACGGCAAAGGATGAGATGGTTAGACAGTGTCATTGATGCAACGAACATGAAATTGAGCCAACTTCAGGGGACGGCAGAAGACAGGAGGGCCGGGCGGGAGATGATCCATGGGGTCGCGAAGAGTCGGACTCGACTGTGCGACTGAACAACAACAACAAAAGTTTACTTTTTATGAACCCATAGATCTTCCAGGATCCTCTCCCTACTGGATATAACTAAAGAATCCTGAATAAAACCATTCTCATGTACAGCCTGCGTGACTCCATCTTTGTTACATGCTGGTGCTTAGTCACCCTGAGTCTTGTGAAAGAATGGTGTTCGGCCACTCCCGAGAGAACTTTCCACTCTCTTATGCTTGTTAGCAGCCCATCTCTTCAAAGCCTGGGTTGTTTCTTCCCACCAGTGTTCACCACGTGCAAGATGGCCTGGCTCATCCAAGTGTTTGGGACAGCTTAATTAGTTTCATTGTTAAAATTAATGGGTTACCTCTTTCACTGTTCTGCTGTACTTCATATTTTATTTTAGTTAAAACAGTTATAAATGAGTTGTGAAGTTTAATAAAGTTGTTTTACTAACCGAACAGAGTGGTTTATTGTGCAAATGCAATAGCCATTATCCAAAGAATATGATAGCTATCTGTCTACTTCATACCGCTTCGTAACTTATTAGCTCTAAGTAGGTTAATAAAATATAGAAAAAGAAGACCCCATTTGAATTACTGCAAAAATCTATCACAGATGCATAAAATCTCATGGCTAAAAGAGTGATAACTCTACTCTTCTAATAAAAGAGGTAATGTCTCCATATGATCTATATTTTGGAGCAAAGAAAGAATTAAAAGATTTCTAGCCTCAGAAAAGTAATTACATTCAAAGGTCAGGTGATATAGGGTGTCTACACTACCTATACCACAGTCTCATACTTTATCAGAGTATGGTGTCTTAAAATACCTCCGTTGCAAAACTCTAGATGGTAGGGCATTAAGATACACCAACATAAAGGCACGCCTATAGTGAGGAACAGTCAAATATGAGCAGTAATCAGTAAGTTCTCCAGGTGGTAGAATAACAGCAAATTTAGTAGAACAAACGCATTGTGCTCTACAGATTGTACTATTATAATCATACTTAAATAGACATTTCTTAATCGTTCTCATGGCTTCCTGTCTAGTAACTGAATAAAGGGAGTCCAAGGGAAGACTGAGGAGCTGTAGTCATTGTACAACAAGTTTAACCCAATGGGAGATATAAGAGTCCTCTCTGACTAAGCTGAGGTAGCCCTCTTGGATGTTGGAGTGTATAATTTTAACTTTAAGGGGAAAAGCCTTTGACCAAGCCTGAGCTTCAAGAGATGCTTGTCCCAATTCAGCTTGGCGGGCTACCTGCGCTACACAGTTTGAAATTCTGCAGATGGAATGTAGGAATTTAAGAAGAACCAAATCCAAGGACTCTCCTATCTTATAAATCCAGATACCAGCCCCATATAAACTTTGCACTGCCACCTTGGCATTAAACAGTTTGATGGCAGCTGGGATATACTGAGTCCCAGATGAAATTTTTAAAAGACAGATAATATCTGATGCTACTGTAGCCAACCTTTTAACGAGCAGTTTGTACTGACCAAGTTAATCTCTGGTCAAACCAACCACCTAAGTATTTTAAAAAGGGGACCTCATCAATATCATTACCATGAATTTTCCACTTGTGGTGTATGTGAAATTTTTCCCCAAACCAACTATCTTGGATTTTTGATAGGTAACTGTCAGGTATTCTTCCAGACAGTAAGAGACAAAGGCTTGTATCAAAGAGGACAGTTCTGATGTTTTTCTTGATAGGAGAATTGCATCATCCGCAAAAAGTAGGATAGAAACTTTAACATTAGCAATGGATGGAGGATAACTGGATGGTTGCGGCAGAGTCGATTGAAGTTAAATCCATCGAAGACTGAGGTCCTGTGCCTGGGTCGTGGGGACACTTCTAGGCTTGATTATTGCAACTCGCTGTATGCAGGCTTAGCCTTGAAGCTGATCCAGAAATTACAGCTGGTACAAAATGCACCGGCGTGTCTGCTGACGTCGACGCCTATGCGGGCTCACATACGGCATGTGCTCTGTCAGCTGCATTGGTTGCCAGTTGAGTACTGGATCTGCTTCAAGGTGTTGGTAGTCACCTTCAAAGCCTTATACGGACTGGAACCAATATACCTAAGGAACCACCTCTTCCCATGTACGCCTCCAAGAGCAATATGCTCTGAGAGTCAACATCCCCTGGTGATCCCTGGCCCAAAGGATGTCTGCCTGGCCTCAACCAGGGCCAGGGCGTTTTCTGCTGGTGGAACATGCTCCCTATTGAGATCAGGGTCCTGCGGGATCTTATTCAATTCCACAGGGCCCGCAAGATGAAGCTGTTCCACCATGTCACGGCAGGGCCAGGGGGCGTGACGCAAGCAAGCAAAAGTCCAGGAGCAGTCCGAGGTCAAGCCGAGCAAATCAGGCAGCAAGGTTCAAACAGGTTTAAATCAGAGTCCAAAGCCAGGGTCAGACATACCAGAGTTTCAAGTCCATAAATCACAACGATGCCAGAGGAGTCAGAGACGAAAGCACGGTCAACGAAGCAGAGGGTCAAAAGCTGAGGATCAAGCCGACAAGAGTTCCACAAGGTCTGGAGCAGAGATACAAGGATTCAGGTCCTGTCAAACGACGTTTGCCAGCACGAATCCCTTCCAGCAACAGGCTGGAAGATATACAGTGCTGGCTAATTAGCTCGTTAGCTGGCAAGGAGCAAGGTCAGGCTCCAGTCAATACTCAGGGCTAAGAGATCGTCTTGCACGCATGCGTGCATCCCGGCGTCGATCTCTCAGCTCCTGTCTCCATTGATTCCGAAGCCTGGTCACAGCTGGTGGTGAATCCGGCGGCGAAGCACTGTGCTGCAGCAGAGCCTGATCCTGTGCAGGTGTTTCCTGAGAGGCTCTATCCTCCTCATCACTTAGGGAGCTTTCTGCCACAGGAGCCAGTCTTTGCTTATAAGTTTCTGCTGCAGTACGTTACTCAGGAGCCTTTGGTGTCAATTCCACATGCTCCTGGCTGGCAGGTGCCTCATCTGGGTCATCAGCAGGGGCAGGCATGACACACCAGGCCTTTGGCTAAAGCAGCAGGCATCCACATATGCCCCCCCCCGAGGTTGCAGTCTCCCACCCACTGATAACCGGCCATACTTAGTTTAGCCAAGTATGATTATGATTGCTCGCTTTATACTTTTATACTTTTACAGTATCAACTCTCATGTATTACTGTTTGGGTAATAGGGAAATATTGACTACTTTAAACTCATGTATTAATGATCCTTGCTGCTCATAGTTTTAGGTTATTTCCATCCCCTGACTCTGTTGGTTAGTAGAAAAAGCAATATTTTTTTTTAAAATTGTGATATTGGTAATAATGGCAACAAAAGTATAGAATCCCCTCCTGAATAGAACAGCCACTGTAACTTCATTACTACTAGGCCTTGCACAAGCATTAATTAGCTCAAGGATACTGTGGGCAATGCTCCCTCTAAGCTGTGGAGTCTTGTGAGCAAAAATCCTACTTTGTGAGCTACTGGCATTAAAGTTGTGAGTGAGCGATTTGGCTACTGCATAAATTAGTTTGCTCTGGAGCCATCCTTCCTGAGCTAAGGGAAAAATGTGTGAGCTGGAGGCTAAAGAACTGTGAGCTAACTCAGCTTAGAGGGAACACTGGCTGTGGGTATTTCCCAATAGTTTATCTTCCCCATGGTTCCCAACTTCTAAAGGCTATCAACTCATTCCTTGATTTGAGTCCCGTAGTACCTTAGAGACCAACAAGATGTGTTCTAATCTTTTATAGATGGTTCCTCTGCAGTGTTTGTTTGAATGTTTCAAAGTTATCTTGCATATCTAAAGTATACTATATATATGTGTAATATATATATGTGTGTGTGTGTGTGTGTGTGTGTGTGTGTGTATTTCTAGCTGTATAGGTCCTGCCCTCACGCCTGTCCAGGAATGAGGGGGGAAGCCCATACTTTTCAGTACATTAAACAATATCCCAGAATGGTAGACTGCCCTCCCTGGATTTCAGAACGATAGCCACCAGAATCCCTTTTGTCCCAGCTTTCCCCAAGGCAGGGATTCCAAACCTTTAGGTTAGCCTCTGGGACATAACACATTGAACAACTCAATCTAGAGCTGTGAAGTTAATCTTACCAAGGTAGTGCAGTTGGTGAGCAGAAGGCACAGGAGTTTAGCCTTAGAATCCAGTTACAACAATACAGACAAGTTAGAAACCAGGATAAGTTTATTCAGTAGAGAACTTGGCATAGACTAGAAGGATTTCAAAATAACAAAGACTTATGGCTCTTGGCCCTCACTAAACATTAAAGAGGTATGTATAATTACCAGGGATGATCCATAGTCCAAGAAATGTCCAGGTATACATTCCAAATTAGACCCCCAAGGGATCCTCAGCAGAAATCCCATCTTTGTGCAAGCATGCAGCCATGTGCTCAGCTCACAAAGGGGGTCTTTGTTCCACTTGGGACAACATTCCCAGGTGCAATTCAAAACAAGTAGAGAGAAAGCAGGAACAGACAGAGCTCCTGCCAAGGGACCAGACTATTATAGCCCAATCTAATCATGACTAGCTGTGGCTATGCAGCCAATCACGAGTAGACAGGGGATGTGGTCAATGGTTGGTTGCCATGGGAGCTTTGAGGGGATAGGTTGGAAGTTTGGAAACCACACCCTCAGTCACATGGCCCCCAACCCCCAAACTTCATTCTGTACGTGACTGTTTGCATGAGGCAGCACCAGGCTCCATCTAGTCTGGCTTTTCCACTAGGGGTGTGAAGGAATGGGTGGTTATATGGAAGGATGTAAAGTTTCGGTCAAATGGGCAGGCCATATGGCTTCAATAGGAAATGCAACACAGCAGGTTATTCAGCAAGACATTCCAGGGGAAGGCAGGAGACATTTAGAAATCAATATTTCTATACACTAGCCCTCATGTGCATACATTGAATCAAGTGGTATAAAACAAACTATATTTCCTCTCTTGTCCTCCTTACAAAGCCTTTAGATAATCCAAATTGGAATATTTCTGATATGTTTTCTTCCCTGCTAGCATTTTATATGGGAAAGACAGAATCTGATTCCATGCAGGATGTAGCCATAAAATCCCGCTCAAGAAATCCTAAACGGTCCTGGAGTAAAATGAGAAGGAAGAATAGCTTGAGGAGGAGAGATGCTGCTGTTCAAGATAATGAACAGAGTGACCACCACATAAATAAGGATGTCTTGTCAGGGGGTATCCAAGATATTCCTGGTGACCTACAAGTGGATTCTGTGACTCATACAAAGCAAGAGACAGATGGAGAAAATCAGAATTCAGAAGTGCCTGCTGCATTTACAAGGAGCCACAGTCCGACTAAGAAAAAAATGGACCAACTAGCCGCTAACAAAGAGCCTCAAGTGACTTATAAGAAATGCCACTATGATACAGATGAAGTTCGCCAGTATCTTTTTAAACAGCGACAGGAGAGGAGTAAGAAGCAGAGTGAACAGAAGAAAGCACAGAAGGAGGCAACATTAGAGAGAGAAAAGAGACTCCAGGAACCGTACAAGAAACAGAGGGAGGCTCTCGCTAATAAGCCAAAGAGTGCATCAGCTCCTGAGCTAGTCCCCAAGCAATTACAAGAGACTTCCTCCAAATTGTTCCTCGATCAAGCCTTGCTGGAGGAGCCACAGCCACCACTCATACAGGATGTACAGGTATAGTTATTTGGGAGGGGTGACTTCTTGAAGAAGAAGAGTTGGTTTTCATACCCCACTTTTCTCTACCCTATCAACTTCCCCTTTCTCTCCCCACATCAGGGAACTTGTGAGGTAGGTGGGGCTGAGAGAGATTGGAGAGAATTGTGACTGGCCCAAGGTTACCTGGCAGGGTTCGTGTGGAGGAGTGGGGAATCAAACCTAGTCATCTAGATTAACCGCCACACCATGCTAGCTGTTTCAGAGTTTAAAAAATGAACATGGAAATTAAGAGCAGTACTCAAAATGGCTGGGGAAGATTGCAGTTTTTGAAGCTACTGAGTTAGCAACCAAGCTGAAAACTTTCTTGCCTTCAGAACAGCATACAGAGTGGGTGGCAACAGCCAATGTGACTGGTAGCATCTTAACCTTCCCTTAGTGTCGAATTTGGAGAGATCTAAATAGAAGTTGACTAGCACTTTTCTACTTTGTAAATAATGTGATTTAATTAATGGATGAACATTAATATTTATAATAACAGTGGATTTTATCTACTAGTATGTAGATCAGGACTCAGGAGATGTTCAGTCCTTTTGCCTGTTGAGCAAGGACAGGGGGATTGGCTCAGCTTTTTGCTGCTGGGCCAACAACTCTCTTCTCAGCTACACGTGTCCTCCTAGAATGAATGATTGAGCCTTCTTCTGCCTTTGACTGAGTGCATACCTCACTGCAATGATAGGATGTTGCAGTAGTTGCCTGTGGCTTCAGATGCTTATTGCCTTTTAAAGAAACCATGGGTCTCCATGGGATTTGTGTAATAACTCTTGTCTGTGATTCAGTCTAAAGTTTCTTTTTAAGAGCTAAACTTCAACCATTGTGCATATATTTAGAAGTGCTATACCTTTACAAAGTAATCAAAAATGTTGCCAAGCTGGTATTTTACCAGCTGTGCCAGGTGAGGCAACTGGCCCTTTTCCTGTTTCGCCCTGACCCGTCCACAGTAATCCATGCAATGGTCACCTCCAGATTGGATTACTGTAACTCGCTTTACACTGACCTGCCCTTGAGACTGATCCGGAAACTCCAACTGGTCCATAATGCAACAGCACAGGTCCTGATGGGAACGTCACACATTCAATCTGTGCTACGCTAGCTGCACTGGCTCCCGGTGGAGTACTGGGTCAGGTTCAAGGTCTTGGTACTGACCATTAAGGTCTTGAGCAGTCTGGGACCCATGTATCTTCGGGACCACCTCCTCCGGTATGTCCCCCCAAAAGCTCTGTTGAAAACAATTTACTGGTGATACCTAGCCCTAGAGATGTCTTCCTGTCCTCCACGAGAGTCAGGGCCTTTCCATCCCTGGCTCCTACCTGGTGGAACTCTCTGCCTGTGGGACCCTTGGGACCTTCTGCAGGGCATGCAAGGCAGAGATGTTCAGCCAAGCTTTTGGTTGAGGACAGCAACAGGTATCACTTTATCTGGCATTCCCTTCCCCTCCCTCACCCTGCTTTCTCCCGCTTGTTGTGAGACAGTAATACAAATTGTAAATTTGTTTTGGTGCCATCTGATGCTGTTTTAGCCATTCTACCTTTTTTGGTTTTAATGTGTTTAAACTTTTGTTGTAGACCGCCCTGAGCTCTGTGAACTCAGAGAAGAGCAGTATAGAAATTTAAATTATAAATAAATAAACATGAGCCTTCCTTAATGCTGTGCAACTTGAGTTGCAAGGCCTGGCACATGACAGCCTTGAAAGGCACATTGGAATGCCAGAAGTACAGCCACTATTGCCAGCAGTGGTAAGGGGGATGCTCCACAGTGCAGAAGGTGGCAAGGACTTGCTCCCGTGACCTCTAGACCTTCCCAGCAGAGACAATCACTGTCACCTCTGTGCATGCGCAAAAAAAAATCCCAGTTGTTCAAACAAAACCCCAACTGATTGATCAGATTTTCTTTTAGACTCTCTTTTTTAAAAAACCATACTTCCAGTTTATTAATGTATTGCCCTTTCCTTCGTAGCCCAACCCTGGATATCACCCATTTGAAGATTCTAACAAAGAAGACAAGGTACAAGGGCATCCAGCTAGTACATCCTCCAATAGTGACATGTCTCTGTCTGAACCTCATCATTCTCTTGTTAGGTAAAGGAAAAGGAGTGCTTTTTAAAAAGACTACACAAGTAGAAGGCACCTTTGGAGCCTTACAGTAACCACCATAAGCAGAGAGTTCTGCCATCCTATGCGTGATTAGGTGTAGTTCTGTTTAGGATTGCCACCATTATTTTGTGTAAAGCAGTTGTATAATATGTGACTAGCAGTCTAATTCATATACTAAAATATTTGAAATCTTCTCCTGCAGTTTCATTGAAATCTTTAGAATTCAGCAGCACCACAACATCCTGTATCTGGAACATTCCATTCAAAAAGACTAATATGAAAATGTAGTTGCTCTTCATGTATAATCAAGGCTGTATGTATGCTGTAATTTTGTAGAGATACAGACAGTGCACAAATGTATTGGGTGCAGAATCCAGCTTTCTAAGAACTCTAATGTTCCATTTTTATCAGGAAACAAGATTCCAGCCCTTACTGTTGTGTTTATTTTTATTGAGAGTGTATGGGAAATGCCAGCCTCAGAAGCCAGAGTGGTGGCTACATATGATTTCCAGTTGTTGGGGGCATCAGTTTGTACCCTCCCTGTATAGTTTCTTGGCCCTGCCCATAGCTAACAAAAGCAAATAATACATAAGATTCTTTTACAGTAGTAGGAATTATACAATTTGCTACGTTTATGTGAACTATAGAATTTTGCTTTTCTTAATGCAGAATTTTGAAAGACAGGGTACAAAATATTATTAGTTGTTGAAAATATGTGTGTTTTGCAAGGTCTAATTCAGTCCTTATAGGGTTAATCTGTTTACCTTGTGTGCTATTGTTTAGACTAACCTGGAAGGGAAACCTGGCTCAGAGCCAATGAAAACAAAGCCTGAAATCTAAGTCTGTTTATTAACTATCATTGGTTAATGTATTCAGGTGATTTTCTTCTAGGGGTCAAGAAGAAGAAGAATCTCCATTACAGTTGTTGTAGTAGACCGTGTGGTCAGACTGTAAATATGTAGTCCTTAGGTGTCTTTGTTGTTTTGTAGATTTCCTGTGTACCCTTCCCTTTAGAAATAAAGATTTTTACATGGAAGAAAATGCCTCCTCTCCAGTGAAGCAAAGATCCATTGCAATCTTGAATATCTAACTATTTTTGCCAATTTTTCCAACATAAGTAGCATGCATAGGACCTCTTAGTAGAAGACTGCAGCCCAAATTGGACAATATTTTTCCAATCTTCTCCGTATCCACAGTGGGGAAGAGTGGGGTGCCATCCTACCCACTGGGTGAGCCTCCCCCACTGAACATCCATCTGTGGCTGTAATGTCTGAATATGACACATGCATGTAAAGTCTGAGACATGGCCGAAACAGTGCAGTCTGTTTGCCAGATAAAATCCAGCTGTTGAATTTTACACACATGCGTCATATTCATGACTCACACACATGGACCACTGGTAATTGGACATATATACCCTGATCTTAACTCCCTTCCCCCCCATATGTAACAGGAATAATCTAATCCAGTCTAATCCAGTTAAAAATGGCTGCAAAGATGTCTCATATGTGAATATTTAATAGTCAAATTTTCCCAGACTCTGTTCTTGTAAATTTATGAGTATTCAACCTTTTGGTTTCTAGGGATGATTGGTTAGAGCCTTTGGGGATTCAGCCAGATAACCTGGGGATTCAGCTTCCTTTCCCACATTCTTCTACTGTCTTCACTGGAGGTCTCTTTTCACAACGTTTGTCCTTGGATCACGGTGTCTTAAAAAAGGACTTTGACTGTTTATTATCAACCAGAAGCCACAGCACGGCTATAGGATTCTTGCCGTTGTCATCTCCACCAGTTACATCTACTCTACAGCCCACAGGTACTCTGGACCGTATTGAAGCCCTGAAAGCAAAAGCAGCTTCTTTGTCTAGCAGAATTGAAAGTGAAGCCAAAAGGTTAGCTGGAATTGGCATGGATTATGGAGCAGTGTGTAGCCCTGGACACAACTCTGTGCAAGGAAATCAGGGTGATGGCTACTGGGTGAAGGCCAGCAGTCCCCTTGTGAGAGAAGAGAATGATGCTTTCTCGGCCACATTTCAGAATATGTCGAGTATTTGTGCGTCTCAGACAATTTTTGACAATCATCTCCCTGAACTGGAAAATCCTGGAATGGGAAAGACCATCAGCCCTCATGCTGCTGCCGCTGTCAGTCTTCCATGCAAGCAGACATTTGAAGGAATAGCAGCAAACCTTTCGAAGAAGCAAAACTCTCCTAATGCTGAGAGTATTGTAATTCTCCATGAGCAGTGGCTCGGTGATCATCTCCTGTCTGAGGAGGACGGAGAGCAGGATGATCATTCACCTTTGAAGATAACCGAAACATTAAAGGAAAAAGAGTTCTGTGGTGCAGGTAAAACTGGCGATGAGCCCACAGAACAATTTCAGAAGGAGGCAGAAAATTATTTACCCATTTCTGCACAAATGAGGAGTGCTTCAGGTCCCTGGGAAGAAATAACCAAAGGAAGTCCACATAGTGTCATCACCATCTTTAGAAAATCTAACCAGCTATGTGGGCAAGGTAAGAAAAATAAATAAAAGAAGGATTGTGGTGTTGTAACTGATGTTTCATTGATAACTGCTTGAACACTTGCATTTTGTTATAGAAATAACCTGGACTCTGAAGTTCAGCTCTTTAAATGTCATAGTAAACCTGTGGATTGATTTGGTAATGGGTAGGGAAATTCTAACCCATGGACATTTCGATCCCACCCTTTCTCCAAGGAGCTCAGGGCAATGAACAAGGCCTTCCCCCCCCCCCAATTTTATTCCCACAATAACCATGTGAAGTAGGTTAGGCTGAGAGGATGTTAATTGGCCCAATAATATATAGTGAGAGTCAGCACTCTGATAATTTCACCATAGTGGGTCTGCTCTGTTACAGCAATGTTGGCACTTACTAGTTACTGTCTTAGTGCTTTTCCGCTTTGTGTTTCTCAGAAAGTACATTTCCCAAGCTCTTTTGTAGCCATATAGAAAAAGACTGGAATGCCAGTAGTTTGGGATCTCTGCTAATCTGGAATACACCTGGTCTGAGATTTTGTTGAGATAATCAAATCTTTCTGTAATGTAGACTATATTCAGTTTTTACTCTCTTTTTTCATGTATAGGATTTGAGGAACGGTCAAGGCAAGGATCACCACTCCAGCAACCTTCACTTCCAGTAATGAGCCCTCCAGCTAGTATTGTTTCATATGAGGATGACTTCATCTCATCACAGGGTAGTGGAATGGGGACAGATAAAAAGACAGCTGTTGAGCCCAGGTATGTATGAGTTTACAGTACAAATAGCAACAGAACAGAATTAATTAAAAGTCATGCGTACTGAGGAATGTTTGGTTGTATGCTATGGTGTTATCTATATATCTAATTCTGAGCCTGCCCCCAGAGTGTGGACTGGGGAAAAAATATTTAAATATTCTGATGTTTCCTTAATCTGTTAAAATGGTTTAAGTTAGGATTGTAACTGATTATTCACTTGCCCATTAACAGATTAATTAATTAAATTTTAGATGTGTGCATTACCTAAACTCCAATACAGGCACCTTCTTGAAGATGTTTAAAGGTGTGAGCTTGCAATTTAATGAACACATGACGTTATGGCATTAGAACAGGAGTAAAGGCTATCTATGACATTTTCTCTTTAATTCTCAGTTACGGTGACGTGCCTTAAAATCAGCATGGTCTTAATGCTTAGCTCACAAAGCAGTCAACTAAAGCTTAACTAATGACATACTAATGTTTCCAGATCCAATCTAAATGTATATTTTCAGTGGTTCCCTGAATGACTGGTGAAACTCCTGACCTTGACATTGCCTTATATGGCATTTAAAAGATTAATTTCTTAAGAAGGTTGATGGTGAATCATTGTCATTGATCCTGGATTTGGTCATCCTTGAAAGCCAGTTGAATTTCACTCTGGTGTAGTCTCATGCAGCTGAGAAATGCTATCTATATTTTTGTTCTGTGGTAATGTTTGCAGTAGTATCCCAAATCTGAAAGAAGAGTTGATCAACAGGAAATTACCTTATGAACTACAAGTTAAAGAGTTTACCCACCATTCCTCAGGAACGCCATCTTCCAGTTCTTGCTCATCTTCATATCCTAAAAGAATAGGGGAAAAGGAAAGTAAGTAAGCTGTTGACAAGGCTGCCTTTCTTCATTGGCTATTTGTGGTGAATTAAGCAAAAGTATTATCTCTGCGTAATGTGTTGCATACATTCTTGCACAAAAGTGGTGCAGGAAAACTTTGGTAGAATATAGGGTAGAGTGCGGTATTTTGTAGTGTCATGAGCTGGTGTCTAAAAGGATTAATGGGGAGCTGTTGACTTCCATATCCCCACCCCCATTTCCACTTGCTGCAAATGCAGCCAGGTTTGAAAACCATAGAGCTTTCTGCAATTTTTAGAGAGGCGTGTCATCATTTCTGGTTTTTACCTGGAAATGACATCACACCATTGGTCCAGTGGTGATTTTTTTTTTTTGGTTTATTTTTCTCCCCCTACCATTCTGAGCTGGGAAAATGAAAGCTGGGAGTAGGGGATCCCCCACTTTGGAGGGAAGATATCAGTCTCACATCCAGGCTGTGTTCACTGATTATTTTTTGTTTCTAAAAACCTTTTGTTAAAATATGTCTTGCAGGACTAAAATCTTTTACTGGGGTCTCGCATTTCTCTTTGTGGGAAGAAAACAGAATGTTTACAGAGTCAGACCATGCACTATTAGAGACAAAGACTTCAGTGCCTAGCAATGGAGTATCCAGTAGAGAACAAATACAGAATCCAGACTCTGACAACACTTTAGAAGAACTATTTGGTCATAATTTGATGAGGTAAAGTTAATGGCTAACAGGACTTAGTTGCATTTTACCACGAAACTATGGCTATATGCTGTATTTATATTATTATACATCTGTGACATAAATCCTAAAACTTTCTAAGGCTCAAGAGTACCACCTAGAGCATTTGGGATCTTGGACCCCTAGATTACATTAGAACGAGTTATTCACTTACATTCCACATTGGACTATCCTGGCAAACTTAATTAGGGGTAATTATTGGTAAAGTATTGGGACTGGGAAATATTCGGTATTGCCAAATATATTCAGGTTGGATATACCCAAATGGAGGGAAGGGAGGCATATTAAAATGCCTTCTTTTCTTCCAACCCCCCCTGCAGCTTTCCTAGTCAATTTCATTCCCATCAGCTCTTAGGTTTAAGCCATTTAAATCTAACAGCAGACAGGCCATGGGAGTGAAACTGACCAGGGAAGCCTCCTCTCTCTGCCTTCCCTTCTCCAGCTGCTGAGGAGAGACTCAGGGAGGGAAGGGAAAGTCAGCGCAGGCATGTTTAAATGCCTTTCTTTCCCTCCCCAAACTCGATAAGGCATTTAATTGGGGAGGGTGGTGGTTATGGCTCGGGGAAGCCAGATGCACACCCATAGACTTAATTCCTTTTAGACAAAGGACGAACTGGTTTGGACCAGACTGTTTGTCATGGATGTTCAGAGCCACTACCAGGTGCTTGATGGAGGTGGGGCTATATTATATATGACTCTGATTGGTAAAAGTAGTCTCTGACATCAGAGATGGGGATTTGCATGGGATTGGAGAAAGCCATTTGTCATTATTGGAAAGGAGGCTGGTTTAGGTCCAACTCTATTTAGCATAAATATATGGACATTTGGGATTCTCCCTTGTCTTCAGTTTTCAGTCTTTAGTGGAAACTAGGTCCACAGGAAGTTGGGTAGGGGTTAAGGACTTCTTCAACTTCTTGTTACTACAAGGAACTCTGCACATGTTCTGAGGAGCCTGCTGCAGCATTTTGACACATGCTTTTAGTTAGTTCAACTGTATTGTTTTTCATTTGAACAATGTTGTTGCTGTGTGCTTTTCCCTATATTTTATTTTGCCTGTTTGCACCCCTTTTTGAATCCAATGACCCTTTCCTTTCTTTTTCTCTCTTTTACAATAAACCTTTTTATAAAGACTTTTTTTGGGCTTCGCTTAGTGTAATCCATTTATCTGGGATACTTCTCATAATCTCTTCCACATGTGCTAGACTGCTCAGCTACTACCAGACTGGTTATACAGTATTGTGTTATTGCTCTAGTACTGTGCTGGAAGACTACCTTCTTGGTGGGTCAGTCTAGAGGTTCTCAGGAGATCATGAGTGTTGGCAGCTGGTTACCACCAGGGTACTTTCCAGAGAACCCTTGGTCTAAGGGAGTTTCCCAGCAAGGAAAGGCACCATGCCCCCCCTTCCTACCATAACATCTTTTTATGGCTATAAATATGTGGCATGGTGATAATTAGTACCAACAATATTTAGCAGTTAAATAGCACTGTGTTATTAGCAAAAAATACATACTTACATAGAGCTATGTTGTATATTCTGATACTTGAAGCAAAACGTTATAGAACAGGAGTTAAATTCTAATGTTTATTCCAGATTTGGACATGCTATAAATATTATTTCTAGAGCATTTATTTATATATAAAGTAAGCTAAGAGAATGACACAGGCCTAGGTCTCAGAACTAAACTGAGGACTATTCTCAAAGAAGAACTTGCTTATGTCAGTACTTTGAATGGTTGCATTTAATGTTCACAAATGAAATCAATGACCACAGAGCATGATTCAGAATCTTCTGGAGTGACAATTTAAGGGTTCGTTCTGGCCACCCCAAGAAGAAGGTGTTAGTATGCCACAAATGGTAATTTTCTCTTTGGATCATCAGAGTCAGCATAAAAGTTTCCTTTCTCTCTTTTTCTTTACAGTTGTCCACTTTTTCATCTTGTGGGTGTGCTTCTTGGCTCTCCCACAGATTTGTGTAGACGACTCTCACCAGTCATTTCTTTGTCACAATCACTCCTTGTAGTTTTAGGTCAGCAAGTCCACAAGCCCAAATCTCACACCTATCTCACAAAGCATATTCAGTTTATAGATTTGGTCCTGATCTCTCTGTGTGCTGGAGCATCCTACTTACCCTATATTGACTTTGGCAGCCTTGCTTGACAGACATTCTCCACCTCACTAAAGGAACATTCATCCACCTCTTTGGGGTAAAGGATCTGGTCTCTCAGAATCAAGGCAAACTCCTACAAAACGACATTTCCATACTAAACTTGGTAGCATGGCAGGTATCCCCTCTAGCAGCCTCTGCATTTCCAACAGGTACTTCTAAACTTCTGAAAACCTTCCATACACCATCTTACTCCTCCAAATGGAACAGGTTTTATTCATTAATGGAGATCCTTGGTTGGAATCTGTTTTCCTGTTCTGTAATTTGGATTTTGGAATACTTCTTCAGCCAATACTCTAAGGGCCTTGGCACCTTACACCTTAGAGTCTACCTAGGAGGGTTTTCTGGATCATGCCCTTCTTCAGCAGGTTGTTTCTTGTTAATTCGACTCTTAAATAGTTCCACTGTCTTCCTACCCACACTTTCATAGGAACTTCAGCTAGCCTTGTCTCAGCTGGTGAATGGTGATGTGCTCCTTTGAATCAGCGGCGACTTTTGACCTCTGCCTCTTGACTGCAAGGGTGACATTTTTGTTAGGCATATTGTCAGCAAAATTGTGCCATTTCCTGTTTCAAAGAGATAACGTTGTTTGCCTCAGTCAGAAACTCATGTCAACTGATATCCTTCCCAAATCCTCCTTTGAGTGCAGAGAAGCACTATGCTCCCAAAATGTCTGCAGAGCCCTTTCTTTCTGTGTGCACAGGGCTGCACTTTTCAGGAAGTCTCTGGGTTTAGTCAGGCACAGATAAGTCCCCCCAACTCCTCAGCCACTGGTTCAGAGTTGTGATTAGACTCTGTTAGATGCCTTTAGGCAATAAAAACCCTTCCTAGGCTGCGGTCACACGGAACATTAGCCACGCAAGAGAGACAGAAGAGAGACAGGGCGCGATCTCACCGGCACATCTGAGAAGCGTAGCGTAGCGCTTCCGTGGCACAACCGAGGCTTCCCGCCGAAAACACGCAGCAAAAAACTAGTACCTCGGAGGTACTAGTTTCCAGAAACTGCGGGGCAAGGGCGGGCGTCTGATTGCGTTTCCGGTGGCATTCGGCGCCCGCCCATGTCCCCTTGCGAAAAAGGTTTTTTCCCCCCAAGTCTCCGTGGATGCGCACACGCACCCAACGGAGCATGCGCATTTGTCGTGTACACAAAAAAAGAAAAGCAGTTTGCCACTTCTTCTTTGCGCGCAGGCATGTCCTGTGATCAGCGCCTCTCCCTACCCGTGGAACCTCCACGGTACCTCCACAGAACCTCCACAGGAGGTCTGATCGCTTAACCGCGCGTTAGTTTGCCCCGGGGCAAACAGCCACGCTTCCCCCCTGCAGTTTCCTGCCCGTGTGACCGAAGCCATAGTACAGTTGCAGCCTACTTGAGTAGGGTGTGGCAACCAAAGCTTTCGGTTTGGGGCATTACTCATCTAGAATATGAGGAGCAGCTGCCTGGTCACAACCCTCCATCTTTGACAAGTGTTATGTCTTGGCCATGAGGGCCACAGGAGGGACCATCTTGGCAGAGTATTATTCAAAGCTCTCTTCTCATGATCTCATCTGTTTCCATCTCTAGTGGGGAGGTACAGTTCCATCCCCCTTTCCCTCCAAGCATGCATATTAGCAGCCTCTGCTTGGCATGGGTTGAGCTGATGACTCTATCATAGCTCTGGACTGAGGACTGTAATGCTGCATGAAGTTATATCTGAGATAAATAAAATCATCTGGGTTGGCTAAATTGGTACTTTCCACTGATTATCCCTTTTTGCTACCTCCATGTTATTTCTCGGAGTCATCTATCCTGCTTAATAATAGGGTAGCATAGATAAAATGAAATATAGCAGATAGGATATAGAAAAATGAACTATATATTGGGAATAGAATTTTGATTAATGGAGATATACTTCTGGTGTGGCGCCACGAGCGGACGGGTCTCAGCTTTCTCCAAGCCGCCCGATCCCATTGCGTTCTTTTGGAGCCCCCCACACTAATGGGGGAGCCCTGCTTTGCTTCCTGGAGGGAGGCAAAGTTGCAAGAGGCTTCTTCGCCCACCCCTAACGGTGGCGAATCGTGGGGGTGTCGACGTTGTGCCCCGATGCGGGAGCGCAGAGGAGGAGAAAACATGGCTCTCACCATGGTTTTCATAGCAGCGACCAACCGGTTTTAATCATTTTTTTTTATCTGCAAGCAACGCATCACAGCAAGAAAAGATACTTTAAGTGAGTCTAACTGGAAAAATACTTTTCGTGTACTTCATGCAACGCAAAAATTAATACAGATCATAGAAAAACCCCTTTAATTACCCCTAAAGCGTCTAAGAAAGCGGCTATGTAGGGACCAGGGGTAAACTGTATGGTGCCGAGAAAAGGGGGTAAGAACTCAGAAAAATAAACTGCTTTAAAAATTCATAGTTATATTGTTAGTTGAAAGTAAGATTGTTAGAACATATGGATATCTTGAACATTATACTTAAATACTGGTGAATAAAATGTAAAAGAATAACGAGCTAAAAATAACAAGAAAATGGCGACCTATGAGGAAGAGGAAGAATGGGATTTGAATATATTAGTGGAAGAACCACCCATTGAACAATATAAGAGATTCTTGTCAACTACAATTAAAGAAGCTGTTGAAACAGCCTGTAAGTCCTTATTTAAAGAACCTAGGAATGAATTTGCAGACATTGGTGAAAACAGAGAATCTAGTCTGCATTTGCAAGCTATGTCTGAATTACAAGATTATAGCCAGGAGAGGGAGCTACGGGATAAGAGACAAGGGAGCACACAGAATGTAACTCATGAATCAGATGCACATAGAAAACATCAGCGGAATGACCAAATAAGAACGATGCAAAAAAAGGACATTTCTTAAAGATTGTTGTACAAAGGAGAAAGAGAAAGAAGGTGACTAAAAACAAGGAGTTAAGAGATGGAGGAAAGAACTCTAAAATCCCCAAAAGAGTGATAAATGCCACATGGAAAAAGGAAAGATCAAGTCTAAAACTAAGAGTTCAAGAATACAAGAACTTTAGACATGGGAAAGAAGTTGGGGAAAAGGAAGAGCAATCAGAAAGATGGGGGGGAAATCTGAAATTATGTTATGATTTGGTGTGTAATATATATTTTTTCAACTTTGATAAATGATGGCTTTTGATAAGGGAATGGACATTGTGAAGAACCTGTATACAGATTTTGTTTGCTATTAAATGTTAGAAGAAGATGTTGTAGTCGGTTAATTTGATTGTTTTTTTTTAAGATATAGCTTGGGAACATTGTTTCACTACTTAAGATGGAAGATATGATTAAATGAAATACTGGTTTTTATTTGGGTTGTAAATGGTAGTTAAAACAAGGTGTGTATTCCCCTCCCCTGTGTAAACTGGAAAAAAACAAGACAATGAATATTATAGACATAGTCTTGCAGGTTGCTTACAAACAAATAAGCAAAAATAATTTTTGGGTACAATCTTCTCTCTATGGTAGATAAGAATTCAACTGTTTGTCTGCTCCCTCATTTAAGTAGTGACTAAAATGGAAAATGTGAAAGAGGGAGTAAGTGATGGTCCTTTTTGTCTCTTGTGTGAGTGCTATCATTCATTCCTGCAGGGATATGAGTAGGTTATATTGATACCAATGAATGAATGGCAAACTTAAACTGATGGCTGGGTGAAAACAGTTGGATCTAGATAGATTGTTAATCAGCAATGTACTTTCAAAAAAGTGGGTTATTAAAAATTAGTATTTTTAGTATTTTAAATGTAGATTTATGGGGAGATATTTGACAATTTAATAAATAAATGTTGATAAATTAAAGCGGCCGTCGCTCACTTCGCACAATCGCGAAAGTGTGTCAGTCCTCCATCTTAGCCCGACCGGAAGCCAGAATAATTGATTATTATTTATATGGTAATTTTTTCCCAGTCTTTTGCCGTCGGTTTTTCTGGGATGTGAAAACAATGTATAATTATTTTGTTATTTCTTTTTGAAAATTAATAAAAAGATTTATATAAAAAAAGAATTTTGATTAATGATATTTGTTGTGGAATCTAAAGTTAAACAAGGAGGGAAAAGGAACTATGTATCTAAAGATGTTGTGAGCAAGTCAATGTCTAGATATTTTAAAAATGTATTGCTCTTTTTTTTGTTTTGTGTAATCCTTAAAAAAACTAATAAACTTTGCCCATTTGGGCAAGTATTTTAAAAAAAGAAGAAGTATTTTGTGGAGATCAGTGGGCAGCTGTGGAAGAGAGGAGGCAAGCAAGTTCTATTCTGACTGGAAAATGTAGTCAGGATCCAACTCCCTGCTTTGTCCCCTTTGTGTATAAAAATATATCTCTGCCACTACTTGATTTCCACAGATTTTTGATAGTTCAACAATCACAAAAGAATGTATTATATGTTTACTGTGCTGAAAGAAATCCAATCCCTATTTTAAGTGGGTGGGGCCAATTGGGGCTTTTGCCCAGCAAGACATCTGATTGGCTATTGAAGATCTGATGGGCTGTGCAGCATTTAAAAAATACTGCTTTGGCAGCAGCTGCATCCACAACATAAGGATATGTGATTGAAAGTAAGCTGCAGCAGCCATCATATAGCTGGCTCAACCTCCTGGGACAGCCATAGTGCCACCACACTATGTCAGAATTCCAAAGGTGCCTATAGATTCAAAAAGGCTGGAGACCCCTGCTCTAAGGAAATCATTCTTAGCTACTGCTGTATAAATGCCCTATCTGTCTGGATTTTTTTAAACTTTTGGTTTGATTCCCCCCCATTAGTCTCCCAGATAAGATAAGGTCACCAAGGACTGCAAGCTGTCCTCAGTCTCCAAGGGCACAGAAAGAACTGGAACCTGTAGCAGAACAATCCAGGTCCTCTTCAAGATCTCAAGCAACTATATTTCCTGGACCCAAGCCAAATCTTGCTTTCCCTGATATGAACCTTGGAGCCAAAAGGACTGGGACAGGCGTTGTAAGTGGTGAGCTGACCAAAAAAACCTGCAGAATATGATGCTATTGGGATGTGTGTGTATGAATGAATGAATGAACGAATCTTTGGGCTCTTTTTGTAGCAGGTACTCATTTGCATATTAAGCCACACACCCCTAATGTAGCCAATCCTCCAAGAGTTTACAGTAGCTCCTGTAAGAAGAGCTCTGTAAGCTCTTGGAGGATTGGCTACATTAGGGGTGTGTGGCCTAATATGCAAAGGAGTTCCTGCTACAAAAAGAGCCCATTTGAGCACATGAACACAGGTGCTCAAATGTGGAGGCTCTGTGAGTTAGTTAATTATAACGTTTTTAGTTCACCTTTGTCCAAAATAATAAATAGTATGGATTGGGTCTTATAAACAAGTTCCATGTGCACTAGATAGCTTCTGCTATGGGGAGCACATGAACACAGGTGCTCAAATGTGGAGGCACTGTGAGTTAGTTAATTATGACATTTTAGCTCACCTTTGTCCAAAATAATAGATAAATAGTATGGATTAGGTCTTATAAACAAGTTCCATTTGCACTAGATAGTTTCTGCTATGGAGTGTGCTTTCTCTTGCATTAGCACTTCTGTTTGCATGAGAGCAGTGCTTTTTAATGAGCTTTGTGCAAACAGAAGAGCTAGCACAAGAGGAAATACACCCCATGGCAGAGGCTATCTTGCATGCATGCAACACAGTCATAGGATCTGAGCCTGTATTTATTGGACACTTTTCTCCCTAATGGGACCCAAAGTAATTTAAAACAAATAAAAATACAATCAGATATAACCAAAGAAATGCCGTTTAAATATCCATAAAAGGTCACAAGGATAAACTATCTTGGGGCTGGTCTGGAATCCAACAGGCCCATTGTCCAAGGCCACAGAGAATGGAGCTGAGGGCCAAGAGTTCATGCCTCCTGCTCACATCCAAGATATATACATGGAATCTGAAGTTCTGTTACAGTCTAGGAGCATTTTGCATCGCCATCTTCATCTTTACTCTAAGAAGCTCAGATCACTGAAACCTCCCAGGAGGCTTTCGATCGAGGTGGGTTACCATGTTTCTGAAAACCATAGCAAGGCTATCAAAGAGCTAAAACAATAATTAAACACAGACTGTGGGATATTTCTCTCCAACTGGACAGATCTCAAACTCATCTTGTTCTGGCAGTGGGGAATGACAACCAAAATTTGTTCCATCTTCATACCTGTATTGATGTTGTGTCCGCTGACTGCCACCAGGGGCCAGCGAACACTCCAGAGCTTGACTCTGGAGTAACAATGGGGACTAGGCTCCTGGTCTCTCCACTGGGGGACCAATGGGACCGTGGCGGGAGATTTAAACCCTCCAACGGGACCTAGGGATGTGTCCCCAGGTATGTATATAGTTGGCCTGCCGGCCGTTTGTCTTTGTCTTGTTGTGTACCAGTAAACCATGCTGATCACTACATCGGTCTTCGTGGTTTCTCCATGCGTCTAACCCACTACACTTCAATTATACATAAGAATTCCCTAAACATCATAGAGCTTTTACCTTTGCCCAACGAAATGTCCTTCCATCTGCCCTTCTTGATGGGAGATATGCTTGCATCCTTTATGAGATACATCTCTGTCCATATTATTCTGGTATGGCAGAAACAACTGAGCGTGTCCTCTCCTTTCGGTTTTATCAGAACATTCGGAATGTATACATCACTCCACCAGTGCACAATTTTCCTGGCAGATCTAATCAATTTTGTATTTCACTCCTCGGCAATTGTTGTAATGAAATCACTTTTAAAATAGCTAGATTTTGTGCCCTGGCATGTTTAATTAGGCAGAAGAACACAACTCTGTTTTAACAAATTTTAATTAAGGATGGCATTTCATGTTTAGCATACCTTTTACGGATGACATGTATTTAATGTATATGTCTATTGATGATTCTGATTGGTTTCTGATCTTGGATCGTAATAAGCATTGATTGAAAACCATAACAAAATGAGTAAAACAACTGAACAATATTTCATTCTGTTGCCATGCAACCAGGGACCTACTCTCAATTATAATATCAGGGCCTGATCAATTTAATGACCTGATCTTCAATGGAATGCACAGCTCAACAACTCAGTTTTGCATGGCCTCTGTAAAACCAGTTCCACCTGGTAGAGGACATTAATATTAAAGGTAGTAGAGTGGCAAAGGTGTTCTATGGGAGTCTCTTCAATTAAAATCTCACACACACCTCCAGGGTAAGTAAATGTGCGAGTTTCCCAATGTGGGACTTCACAGGAGCTGCAAAGATAAAAACTTACCTGTAACTGTTGTTCATCGAGTGGTCTTCCATGCAGGTATGCATCCCTCCCTTTTTTCCCCATGGTGAGCTCACTGCTTTAGGCATCCTGGGATGCATCACAGCAGCAAAGGGAGAACTGGGGGAAGGATTGCTCCTGCTCCTTGGTCATGTGCTTGTTTTGATGGGAAAGGGCCAGCACATGACTGAGGGCAAGGGAACTCTCCTTGCACTGTTGAAAGCACTGGAAAAGATGGGCTTCCAGTTTATGGTGACACACTGGCAGACACATCTCCCGGACCTCCCGGGGATGTGATCTGCGCACCAGCAGAAAGGCGACGGCAAAAGACTCCTAGCCATGGGGCTTTTGAGGGGTAGCCTCTTCTCCAGCGCCATGCTGGGGAATTGAGGCGCTCCTCCGCCCCGACAGTCCTGCTGCTGAGTGTCCATATGGATCTAGAGCCGCTGACCGGGACAAGCGTCAGAGATCGAGCGTTTTAAACATATGCCGAGCTAGGTCGTATGACCAACAATGAACTGTGAGTCAGGTTAAAGCAAAATGAGAACTTAAAAAGAAAGCTACCCCCTGGGAATGGCGAAAAAAGCGAGCAGGGGAGGGGCCCCTCCCATACGCATGAACTAAACAACAAAATACTTAGGGGGGAGCGGAAGAAAAAGCATTGAAATCTGTTTTGAGAGACTTACCAGAGTGCAGATAAATGTATGGGCGTATTTCAGAGACTTTAGCAAGTTTTCATGAAAGCAAACAATCCATAAAGATGGTGGGGAAGAGGGCAGAGAAAGACAAACCAGTAAAAGTGAAACCAGCCGACTTGAGCCCTCGACCGGAAGAGACCACCAAGTTTTCAAAATGTGAACAGAGTCCTTGTGCCCTCTGCTGGATTAGATGACTAACATCAAACAACAGCTGACTAATCTAAACCAGAATCTAGCAACACAGCAGCTCCAACTGACTGAGACTTTTAAAATAACGGAGCAAATGGCTGAGAAGGTGGAGGAAATGGACGCCAATGCCAAAAAAGTTAAGAAAAAGGTGCAGACGCTGGAAAAGAAACAAGTCTCTGAAGAATCACAACTTTTACAGCAAATGGAGAAAGCAAATTTGGTCCTACGGTTTCAAGGGGTCCCAGAATTAAAAGGTGAGAATCTAAAGCAACTCCTGAGTGAAGCATTAGCCCCAGTTACAGATTTGAAAGTGGAGTATCTTGCAAGCGAAATGGATGTGGTCTATAGGTTCTATTCCGTGTACATCAAAAATAATAATCTGCCAGGGGAAATAGTGGTTAGATTCTCAAAGCAACACGTGAGGGATTCTATCCTGAAAGCAACTACAGGAACACCCTTGAAAATTGGGGACAACACTATCAGGATTCTAAAAAACATTCCATTCGAAATAAGGCAAAAGAGAAAGAAATATAAAGATTTAATCCTTTTTCTTCAAACAAACAGCATTGTCTACAGATGGTTAATTCCAGAAGGAGTCATTTTCAAACTACAAGATAAAAAAGAAAAGATTGACTCTGTTTCCAAAGCACGTGAGTTCCTGAGAGTGCAGCTGGGAGAGCCAGACGAGGTCGAGAAGGAAGAAGATGACAGCAAATCCAGTGGCAAATTGGACTCAGTGTCTTCCAACGAGGACTCTCTTTCTGATAAGGGGGCGGCTGCCCCCAAGCGTACATGTAAATTGAGGATTAGGAAAGATAAGACAAATTGAAGGCTGAAGAACTCTGAAGTGTGCCTTTAAACTTTAGCTTTATTGTGGGATGCTCTGGGGGTTCTCTTGAATGGTTAAAACTTTGGATAAAAAGATAAAAAAATTAGCATAGCCGACTATGTTCAAAGTAATATTAGCAATTTAACATTTATACAAACTGTTGTGATGATCTCCTATTCTTTGGGTTTTAGTTAGTTTTGGTTTTCTTTCCTTTCTCTCTAGATGTAGTTACCCCTTCCCAATTTTTCGTTGTAGTTTGTAGTATATTAAAAAATGCAATAAAAAATACCCTCCGCCCCCCCAAAAAAAGAAAGCACTGGAAACCTTTAGAATTTGACATGTACATGCACAGTCCCAATGTGTGCCTGCACTGAAGACCTCTCAATGAATAACATCTGCAGGTAAATGCAACCCTGATTTCTGACTTGGTATAAGGCAACTTCTTAGGGTAGTATTGTCTGTTTTCCTTACAGATTCCATGCATTTCTCCCTTGCTGGCCTCCAGCATCAAATATTAGCAGAACTCCACTACTTAAGTACCATTGAGGAGTCTCTGCAGCAGCTTTCGGATGTGAAACAAGCACCCGGCATATCACTTGTACAACAAGAAAGTGTTTCACTTGCTCAAATACTAACGGTAACCAAAGAAGTACTTACCTCTGCTTTAAATGGTCTTTGTGTTCTCTGAAAGTCTCAGATATGAATTGGAAAAGTGTTTGCTGCACTGAGAAAATGTCGCTTGCGTTCTAGTGAAAGAATATTGTCATATTCACATTAAATCCACAAAACTACCAGGTTCCTACATCAAATATAGATTATGCTGGGGTTTTTTTTCTGCATTAAATCCACAAAACTACCAGGTTCCTATATACATAAAATATAGATTATGCTGGGGTTTTTTTCTTTTGAGTGTTTTCAATAGAATATTACAATTCACTTACTGTTGTTGGCACAACATTTATTTGTAAACTCTTGTCTTTGATCCTACAAGAGATAACTTTGAGGTCTACCGTTCCTTAAAACAAATCACCTACATTTTACATAAATACCCATCAGAGCTGCTAGGGGAGGGGAGTAAGGGGATAAAATCCCAGGGACAAGTCACATAATTTGTTTTTGTGTGATGTTTGAGTTGGGTCTGGGTGATGTGAGGAAGGGGGCCCAGAGGGAATTTTTGCCACTTTTTTTTTGTGGTAGCTCTGATAGCATTGTGACCAATTTAATGGTATAACACCACAGCTATCAGAGTGAAAGTTCGGAAATTGAAGTTGTGAAATATAAATGTTAAAAGATTCTGAAGCCGGAGACATACTTGAGCATCTTTTAACAGTAAACCAGGTACAATGACGGCAGTGTTAGGTCGAATCTGCATTTGTCTTTCCCACCGGTGTCCCAACCTTCTGACTCAGTATTCAAAAAAGCTGTCTACATTTGGTTTTGTTTTCACACCTCAACAGTGCTAGCATACTTTTGCACGTCCACATATGTTTATCACCTTCTCGTGGCGGCTCCGCTGTTATTGTTATTCTCTAAACAGTGTTCAAACAAGCATATAGAGAAAGACGGCGTCACAGCAGCACGAAACTGATTTAAAAATGAAAATGCAGATTCGACCTTAATATCTTTGTTATGCAGGACCAGCGAAAGAAACATGAGGGGGTCTTGGCTCTTCTGAAGCTCAAAGCCGACGAAGTGGCTTTGAAAGAGGCACAGCAGAAAGCAGCTCAAGTAATACAACTTTTAAAACAGCGTGAAGAGTATGCAAGTCGTGCTTGAATATTGTGGGTGTAATAGATTTTCTGTGTGGGGCCTTTTATGTTACAGAACTAGAAAACTGTGGCAGATGCTTTAAGGGGGGGGGGAGATTCTGTTGTAATGAATGCAAGATCTTGGTACCAAGCGTGTAGATCCCTATAGTGGCTGCGATCACACGGAGCATTAGCCACGCTACAGAGACGGAAGATAGGCGGATTTTCCGGGCGCGATCACATCTGGGAAGCGTAGAGCTCCCGTGGTGAACCCGAGGCTTCCTGCCGAAGATGCGGGGTAAAAAACTAGTACCTCCGAGGTACTAGTTTCCGGAAACCATGAGGCAAGGGCGGGCGCCTGATCGCGTTTCCGGTGGTAGGTTGTGGCATCCGGTGCCCGCCCATGTCCCGTCTCTAAAAGGAGTGTTTTTTTCCAAGTCT